CAGCGCCCTCCACTCCCCCCGCCGCAGCCAATGGGCAGGGCGGGGCAGGGCGGCGGGGACGTCCCGGGTTCGCGTCCCCGCGCCGCTCCTGGAGCTGCGCCCCCGGAAAGGCACCAGGTCCTGGTGCTATTGCAACGCGGAAGAGCCTTTGCTGTTCCTGCAAAGGGCGGCTCTGTCATTAACTGCACAACTGCGGAGGTGAGACAGGAGTAAGGACAGATTTTTTTGAAAAAGCCTCACCTCTGCTGGAGTCGCTTCCAACGTTGCTGTTTTCCAGCATTCCAGTTTTATTTTGATTTGAAACAAGGCTACGGTGTTTACAGATTTAATATGGGGAAGTCAGGTTACCAAGGAGATTAAGCTGTGGTCTAAAGCAAAAGCGAAACCACCATTCCCACCGCAGCCTGTACACTTACCTCCCAGCACTGCAGCCGCAGCTTCACTCATTTAGCCCCCTTTTTTCAACTTTCTATAAGCAAAGCTACAACTGATACTCCAAGAAAGGGACACGTGGGTAATATAAATAATTTATTAACATAATGTACATACAGAATAAGACTACTTTCTTTGAAACAGAAAGCTTGTATGTGATAACACAGGGTGTCAGACAACACTAAGCAAAGCAATTTTATTTTCACATCTTTGAATCACCACTTTCCCTTCATCCTTCACCATTATAAAATCTTCATACACAAAACAGAACACAACAATTGTCTTATCTCACTTCAAATTAAATTTGTTCTTAAAAAACAAAACAAAACACATCTAACAAAGTGCATGTGATTTACTGCAGGGAAAAAATATGCAGCCCCAATTAACAAGGCAGATAAGGCACCTTAAATCTTAGTAATGAAATAGCTGGCTTTTTTTTTTCCCCCTTGTAAATGAAGGCAAGCTAAAGTGTATGCAACTACATGTAGAATGGTTATCACCTCAGAAAGAACTTAGGGAAGTTATTTTATAGCCACTTCCCACAAATCTGTTTTTAGGCTCTATCAGTGCAAGTGATTTAAACATGCCACATGTATCAGGAAGTAAATGCTTGCATACATAAAATAATATTACAATATATAATACATGGAGATTTATGTATAGATTAATCTGTTTCATAATGTTTACAATAAGACAATATTTATAGAAACATTTCAAGTTACATTGATTATGCAAAGCACAAGATACTGCCTGAACAGAAACTGCTATTAGGGGTGGGGGTTTTTTGGGGGGGCTAACAGCATGCTTTCAAGTAAGCTACTTTACACAGGAACTGGTAGTCCCTTTTCTATCCCCTCAAGAAGATACTGCTAGCAACATTTGATTGACAGAGGCCTGGAAATGTAGCACTTTGCAGTAAGAATTGCTTTTCCGTGTATTTTTGCTTCCTGAAACAATTTTTAAGGCTCCCTCAGAAGGCTTGTCAATAGCTTTTGAAAAGGCAAACATTCTCAAATTTCAAGTATTTCAAAATTAACTAGACACTGCTATGAAAATATTTGCCAGGAAATTATGATCCAGTCCAAAGCTGAAGATAGGTTTCTTAAGAGCATAACAATGCCATTGGTTTCACTTTGATAATAATTTGTTTTTCTAAAATACCTGCTGTTATTAAATAACAGGAGAAACTACCAAAATATTGACACTACTGAAATCTATGCACTCATTTTAATAAGGAGTTTCAGAATAAACACTGAATCTTTCAGTGAACACCCGACTTAGAGGCTACCTGAACCTTGTTACTTCAAAACAATCTTCTAGATGAGGCAAGTAAAAATATCAGACTAAAATCTAAAGTTACACCAGCATTTTATAGCAAGCTACTGTACAAGCAGACATGAGGAAAACCATTAAAATTCAACTGCTTCAAAGTAGCAAATCCTCACAGCAACCACATTGTATGCTTATGGTATAAATCCAGTCTCTTGTGCTACTTTGCACAGGGAAGCCAAGGAAGTCAATAGAGATAGAAAGACTTGCATGTAAAATCGAGGAAAAAATTGGCATCTATCTCCTTGTTTTCAAATTTAGAAGGAAATTAGCATTTATGCTAGGAAACAGTAGCCACTTACACTCCAGTGGGACAGTTGCAAAGATTAACACTGTGTAGCATCTTCTAGTAAATAGTGTTTTTCCGATTGTTCTCAACAAATTTACAAGGAACTAAACCCATTTGGCTTTTCAGTTTAAGATCTTTTGCTTTATGTAATTAAAAACTCTTACAAAAATATGTAATTTGGAGATGCTAATAAAAATACCTGCAGTGCTGAACATATCTGTGCATTTACTACACTACTTCCAGAAATTGTATCCTGATCTATAGAGATTATACTATACATAAAGGGTTCACTCTTCCTTCTAACATACTAACATAACATACTTCACTTAAAGAAGTAAGGACCTGTATACCATTTAAAATCACGTGTGCATTTAAATTAATGCATTTAAATTCAAAAGGATACTTGTCACAAGGTTAAGTATTTTTTCATTGCACTTTTCTGGTAGATACTCATGCATCCATGATCTACATCTAAACCAAATGAAAATACAAACCAGAAGCTGCTGGTCTGGTCCCATGACATAAATGTAGCAGTTTAGATTATGTCAACATTTTAAATGTGTCCAGATTGCTTCATCTTGAATTTATGAACAACGGCTTGGCTGATAGCAAGTGTAGCAGAATGAACATCAGAACAAATCAGAACTTCTTAAAAATACCCTTTTCTTTTTGCATCATACTCTCAGATCCCACAACTTTATAAAGCAAATTTGCTACTCTGAATCATCCACTTCCATAAAGATGTCACTGAAAAAATACTCAGAGATTCTGGTTGGCTCTTCTTCCTTCTCTTGACCTTTAGCACAAAGGGGCAGCCTCTCAGATGGCTCATTACTTGGAACCTAGTAGAAAAAGAAAAAGTTGCTTTTAATAGTCTTAATCTGTTTATGTCTGTGAGCGTGTGTGTGTGTATGTATATACGTATATGCACTTGAGCTTCCAATTTAGATAGAAAGTTTATACAAAAAATGCAAAGTTTTTTGAAACTGGAAAACAAGTAGATACATGTGCAGCTTAAAAACAACTTAGTACCCTTTTAAGTTTCCTACACATGCACAAGTTGGAATTTAGTCACTGGAACAAGTATCCGTCTCAAAACGTGAACACAACAAGCCCACCTACCCAATTCTGAAATAACTTGTTCCCCCTTCTTCACATCTGAAAAATGCAAGGGCATTCAAAAGTAAACATGTACCGTAACTGCAGAATCAGCAACTACATTCTCATACTCCACTGATGACGATGTGCTTGTAGAGGGAAGGGAACATGATCCCCTGTCACCCTCAGTGGATGGACCAGGTCTTTTTAGACTTCGCTTTGGAGTCACGATTCGAGGCTTTGGGATCTTATCTTTATTCCTTTTGGTATCTTCTGCAGATTTAGAACTACTTTGTTTGCAAATTAAAGATAAAAATCCCAATGGTTTTCGTCCACACCTGTTAAAAAGAAATACAATCCAGATGTTATAGGATTGCTCCATACAAGTAAAATGGAAGTAGCACCACAGAAATCCAACTCATTACACAGGAAACACACACCTCTGAGATCTATGAATATTTTAAGAAAAAAAGAAAAAGTAATTCTGAGAAAGTCTTTTGTATTGCTGAATATTTCTGGCACAAGGGTTTTTCAAAATGTTAAGAGACTCTTGACAATCTTTAACCCTGACAACAGGAACCTACTTCTTGCTACTAAACTGGAGCTTGTAAAAAACTACCAGATCTTCAGAGATTCCAAGAGGAATGAAGACATACTCTTAAAGAATGAAAAAAGCATCCTTCATGTAATCAGTGGAAAAAACACCATCTCATTCACGGTGATGATACCACAGTAGACCATCTTAAACACCAGAAAGAAGATCACCTGCAGCAGCCAATAAACGGAATCATACCTAGTACGAGTGAATTTACCAAAGTCACAGTGATGAGTGAAGTATTGAGATTACCAACTTTACATGTTATTAAGAGTTTGCAATTTAGAAAGTAAACTTTAAAGCAAGGATGCCAATGTTAACACATCATTACCCAATTGCTGTGAATGTCCCAGGTACAAATAACCAGTTTTAGAACTCAGAGAAGCATAATGAAAGAGTAAACAACAAGATCAGAAGAGACCAGTTGAGCACCACAATCAAAAACAGTAAGCACAAGAGCAAAAGAGAGCAGTAACTCAAACACTTAAACATTACAAAAAAGGAGTATTAAAACAATGCCAGAGGAATATCCTCTGAGTTGTCAAGGCTGAAACTCCTTTGGGGAAATGACACATCTTAAGTTAGTACTAAAAATCCAGTGTGTTGCATACTATATCAGTAACAAATCTTACTGACAGAAGGACAAACATCAAAACAAATGGATAGGTGTATATATCCCAACATTAAACTGAACTAAGGAAAACAACTACCCTTAATCCATATCATAGCCAAGAGACGTCTGCCTCACAAAAGGCATCTGTAAGTGTCTATAACCAGACAGCCCATACATAAATAGTATCCCTTGGTCAATCCACTAATTCAGTAAAATAATTCAAATTTCAAAGCTGACAGTTTGATCCTTTCTAATTTGCTGTAGAGGATAAATACTGTAACATCTATGCACTTAAGTCAGAAACAATGGTACTGCCCTTCTTGTAATACTAAGTGGAAAAAAAATCTCAAAAACCTCAATGTGAAAATGCCTTTTTTAATAGAAAAGGCTGACAAAATACTATTGCAGAAATACCTGAGTAATGGAGTTTTTGAAGATGATGCCAGGCTTTCAGTATGTTCCAACTGTTCAGATTCATGCCCATTTCCCTGCATTTCTTGGCCACTTATTTCTTTTCTATTAGAGGTTAATCTAGATGTCATCTCTTCTTCCTGTCTAAATGTTGAATTCGCAGCTGTTGTTTTTGCTTCATTCTCTAAAGTCTCTAGCTGGCTTCTCTCAGGTTGTGGTGACACAGGTTCAGACACCAACACAGAGGTATATATTGTTTCTTTTGCTGAAGCTTCCGTTTTTTGAAAAGGATTCCCTGTAAAAGGAGTTGAGAGTCAAGGATTTCAGTTATTTAACTTCAGTGACAACACAACAGCCCACAGCATGCATGTTAAGATGGCTTGCAGTATTACAAGAAAAGGCTTGATTTTTTTTGTTCAGTTTTTGTAACTTTTTTAAAAATTATTACTAAGAATTAGAAGTTCACAGTCTGCTTCTGAAGTCTGTAAGATCTTACAGATGTTATGGGGGAAAGCTGGTGGAAGTCTGGTTTCATAAAACACACGCTACCACCCCCTCCTTTACAGCACACTGTAGAACTTAGTCAAGTCCTCTAGCTGTTTAAGCTTCTACAATTTCTCTTTAAAGTTTTTTCAGGGCCAAAAAGTAGTGTTCCCAAACCCTTCACAGACTCAGATCACTGAATATTGCATTGTCAGCAATTCTGCTTTCCCTCTGATTCTTCAGAGGCAGATTAAGCTTTCAAACAATTATATTGGGCATTTTTTAAAAGATAAATACAAAATAGATCTAAAACTATTTTGGCAAAGTATGGGTAAAATATCTTTGGTTATTAGTGCTCTCCAGCAGGTGGAAATATTTGCTGAAGAAAATACACCATATTTAGTCAAATAAACTCCAAAATTTCACTAACAGACTAGCAGCAGCAATGTTTTTAGAATCATTATTAAATTAACAGCCAGTTGTGTAATCTAACACATGTAGTTTATAGCAGAAAACACGGAATGGTGATATTAGGTAATTACTGGGAGAACTTGTTTCTACTTTCATGTTAGATAGTCTCAGCCAGAACTACTTAGCACAATAATGATCACTAGTAAACCATGATGAATAATGCATTATTACAACACATTTACATGTATTCTATATGCTTTACAACTTTAAGTTTACCTACCAGAAGCTATCGTTGAAGCATCTGTGGATTTAATTGAATAACCCTGTATTTAAAAAAGAAAAAAGTTATTTCTCTATTTCTCTCAATATAGAAGAAATAATGAAAGTCGATAAAGTCTTACCCAGTATGTACAGTTCTAAGAACATGAGTGATACAGAAGACTAACTCATCTTTAGTTTGGTATCATCCATCATTTATGGTGCTTATGACAAATAACTCAAGACAGGGATGTCAAGATGAGAGGTCAAATAAGGAAGAGGATTGCTATCCAGTCCTTCCTAGAAAAGCTCTCTGAATCATGTAAAGAATTATCACCCATTCCCTCACCCAGACACACTACAGTCTTAGACTACCTCACAAAAATGTATGGTAGTCACTGCCACAGTCCTGGTCATATTCTAAAGGCACAGAAGAAAGCATGCTGGACAGTTTTTATTAGCAGTTTGCTCTTTTAAGTATTTGCTATGTTAAAAAACGGTAGGAACACATCTAACAACTTCTTTATGTAACAGACACCATGAGGAATCACAACATCATTCAATGCAGCCAGACAGCCTGCCAGTCATACAACATACATCCAGTTTCCTCTCCTGCAATGCCATTGTAGGAAAGGCTGTGGCGAATTAACCAAGTAAGACATATTACCAGTCTGCCTAATAGGAAGCCTAATAAAAAAATCTTGAGAGCCTACAGATTCACCAAAAAGTTAATACTAAATCAACAGCCCAAAAACGGTTGTAAAGTTCAAAATGAATCACAGGTTGCAATAAAAGCCAGATTTAATAAAACAAAAAATAACTACTATTAATTGCAGAACCAATATGAAATACAAACTCATACTCAGCCCATACAGCAGTCACGAGCTGTGTGCTCCCAGCAGTGAATGCCAGATGTCCAACACTGTGAGCATCACAGCTCCAACAAGAGCATGATGGTCAGAGCAAACAGGAAAGTAAGCAGGCCTTGGGGACAGAAGGATGGACAAGACCCTTCAGGACTGGCAGCCACTGAAGAAGAGATTCATCCCCAGCAAACATCTCAATTTATAGTGAGAGTGATGTTTACAGTATGGAATACTACAGTTGGCCAGTCTGGATCAGCTGCTCTGGGCATCACACCTCCCAGCCCTAGCACCTGGTTAGCTAAACACTGCTAGAGACCTTGATCACTGTGGGAAGTGATGTTTACAGTATAGAATACTACAGTTGGCCAGTCTGGATCAGCTGCTCTGGGCATCACACCTCCCAGCCCTAGCACCTGGTTAGCTAAACACTGCTAGAGACCTTGATCACTGTGGGAACTCACATACCATGGCTGGCAACAAACTAAAACTAAGTGTCTTACCAACTTTGTTCTCACAGAATTGAGTGCTGCAGTCTACTAAAAAATTTCAGCTTCCCTCAAGAAAAAATTGATTCTATAATTCTACCCCAGTGAAACCAGGACAGGATGTTGATTTTCCTTTTAAGTTGTACAGGCAGTACATTTTTAAGCAAGGGACACCATTAAATTATAAACATAGGCAGAAATTCTCTATGACATGTTACACATCTACACTATGCAAGACTCACCAAATTAGCACCTCACCTTGTATGTGGTTTCCAGGTTACTCTCCTCTACAACAGTACACACAGCTTTCTTGGCAGGAGGAAAATAATTCTCTTCAAGCTCAGCAGCTGGCCTTTTTTGAGTTGTCTGCAGATATGGAACGGGCTCCACTGATAAACACTCTAGTTGTGTGGTTTCCACACTGGTGTTTAAAGGTGCAGCAAATTCATCAGTTGCAATTGTCAAGGATCCAATGCTGTTTATATATAAAAGTAATTATTGTGACTGTACAACAAGACAAAACTCACCTTCTGTAATATTTCTGCATGGAAATTACACATGGATCTATCAAGACACTATTTCTTGCTTAAGGCAAATATTAAATTCAAATGTACTATTGCTACTACGTAAACATCTCGCTGTGCTGTCTTGAGTTAGAGAATTGAGTTTTTCTAGTCATAATAAAATCTAGTGACTTCAGAAGTCGCTCTGAACTCAATATTTTCATAACACGTAGAAGTATGGCAACTGATCAACTGTCCTAGAAAATCCTAAAATACAGTGGCATTTATATGCACAGTTGAATTTTCTTCCCCACCCTCCACACCATTCCACACGCCCCCATAACCCACCCAGCATGATCTCAAAAAACAGCAAAGCACCTAGGAAAGCAGCAGGAACTAGGGAAACACAGTAAAGCAGTAAGGGAACAGTGAGAAAGATGTACCCTAACTTGGCCTGGCAACAGTTCTATCATCCATAGTTCCACAGGTGTTAGACTTCTTACATTGTGTAGCCAAAAGTCACTCAAAGCTCTAATCCTTTCAATAACTAAGGGAATGACATTAACATCTGATGTCACAGGGCAAGGTCGCCACAATACATCACACCTCTAGTTACAATCTGAAGACTTACACTAATAATAATAGGTTTTTTACAACTTTGCAACACTTCCTATTCTTCAGAATGCCTTTTGCCTTCGATGTTCACTTTCTTCAACTGTAATGCTGAAATAACACTTTTGTCACATGGAATTGAGTACTCCTTGTAAAAGAAACGAAACCCCTTTGTATCACGTTACTGCAAACCAGCTATTATTATGGTGAGTAATTTTTCTTTTTCAGCTCTTCTGCCTTTTGAACATGGCACAACCTCATGAGAGTGATTTCTGAATTTATTACCACTGTTCATAATGTTCTTCAGAAGACCACCTACACTAAAAATCTGGAAAAAAATTCATGAACCTCTACTTTACAAGACAGTTAGAGTACAGTAAAAATGCAACCATCCTTAGATTTTTCATTTCAGTAACTTTTCATTCTAAGTACCAATGGCAGAATAGATTCAGGCTGGACAAATGACTTCTACTAAAATGGAAGACTTTCAAAGGATAAATCAGAATTAAGGTTGACACCAAAATCCCAGCTAACTAAACCACTAACTTTTAACCCCTGATGAGATCTTCCTGAAATCTGATTAGAGCCCTTTTCACTTTCTTAATTCTCTGACCAGTCTGCCAAAATTATTACCTCTTGCATTTAATCTTTTGAAAAGCTCTAATCTGTAACAAACATCCAGGGAACAATCAACATTTACAAAAAGTGCTCAGAAATAAAGCATTTACCTCTCAATTTCAGTCACGTTTGTTTCACTTGCATTTATTGGACTGATAAGTATTGGGGCTGGCAGCAGTGGTTCTGAAGTTGGTTCCAGCAAAGCAGATGCACCAAAGTCTTTTGAGTCAGCTGGAATTTCCACCAATGTTAAAATGTATGTCTGTTCTTCCTCTGGACATCTATGATCAACACTTGCTACTGTAATTTCTTCAGGGAAATAAATAACAAAAATCTATTACTCCAGTTTGAAATTAACACTGTTCTTTTCATGCCTTCCCTACCCTGAGTAATTAAATTTTAGGCACCCATTTCTCCAAGGAAAATGGCACTTTAAGACATTTTTGTCTTTGTCCTTAAGACAAAATGCTTACTTTCTTTTTAGATGAGATACACACATCATCACCCCCTGGAGCCTTTTCATTGCAGTGGAGTCCTGATTACCACTTAGAATGAAGAATATTAAAAACGTCTAGTAGGGATGGAGCTTTTTCTAATGGGTGTTCTAGCATTAAAGAACAATTTGCTCTTTAATTAAACTTGTGTAACAGTGGTCAAATCACTCAATGTCTTTAATTGAAACTGTCAGGCATTAAGAGTTACTTCTTTAAATGGAAGGAATCTGCTGTTTTTACAATAAACACAAGTTCTTTTTCCTTCACTACCAACTTGCAGAAGAGTACTTAAGAAGTATAGTTTTGAATTTAATAAATGAAAAACAATAATTTAGTCAACACATGGACATCAATAGATAACTGCTAACTGCCATCCATTAGAATGAACACGGAGAGGGGATTTGTAGAGTTGTCAGAAGACTGTAAACAACAGTGCTGCTCCATTACTTAAGGCAACACCCATTCATGATGCAAAACTTCTGTTACTCAAACCTTATGTTTTTGCTTATAAATAAAGATAGTTTAAGATGCTCTGTCCCAAGATCCTTGTAATAACAGAGCCTAACAACAGATACCTAAGAAAAAGTGTAAGCCCTATCTTCTGTACATGCTCAGGAGTTACAACTTTGGAGTGTAGTTCCCATGCTGAGGCAGGATGCTGGGGTTATGACAGTGATTTTCGGTTCGAGAGCAGCTCAATTTCATTTTGTTTAAAAGGGAAAAGCAGCCATCAGCTTAATAACTTTTGTCACATCTAATCAGTTAGGAGTTAGTCTGCTAAAGAGGGAAGTCTGGTTGTCTTCATCCTTCTTCCCCTCTTCTCCTTTCTCACCTGCTCCACACTCGTGCAGTCCACCTCTCCTGCTCACACAACTCTGACACTGGAATTCACTTGACAACTTCATTAGCCTCTTGCATTAAGCCACTGGAAAACCATACAGGTTCTCTCTCTCTGTCATGTTCAATTATTGATGGATAGGTGAGTCAGAGACTCATAAAGGGAGCTAGCAAGTGCTAAACCTAGCACAAGGTAAGCAGCAGGAGCTCACAGTAAGGAGAGAGCAAGAAGTTTCCCTTCCACTGATATTTAAGCTTAATAAAGTGCCATTCAAAAAGTTCCCAAGTCTAGTTTGTGTTAATGAAAGAGCCTAGGGAGGGGAATGGCACTTTGCTGTGGTTCACTGTTTTTCTTAATGAAATAGATTGATTCATCATGACAATTAAAACATTTTAAGGTTTTTTTGATCCATCTTTGTGTAATTGCAAGATCTGCCAACTTATTCTATTAGCACATTGTACCTGGAGTCTCTTCTGTGCTGCTTATGCACTGTTGTTGAGAATCCTGAGGGCCAGCTTCCTCCTAGAAATAACACATTTGAAATAAAACAAGTTAATAATTCTGAGAGATAAATCTAGTAAATAGGAAAGAAACAAAGCATGTCAAATGCTGAAGAACCAAAAAACTTTAATGACATCATCATAATTGCGTTTTGTCAGCTTTTATTTCTAGCCATCCTATCTTAAAAGATTAGCCTGACTGGGACAAGAAACAGTTGGGCAACATAAAATTTATATGCAGCTCATCATCTGAATTAATGGTTTGTCAAAATAAATTTATACTTTCTACAGCACAACTCTGTCAGAGATGACTCACTTTATAAATTGCTCAGTGAAACTAAGAACACAAACTCCCCCAACCATTACAACACCCCTGAGTGCCAAAGAAAAACACCAGGCTCTGCAACTCACCTATCCCTTCCCTTTTATGGCATGTACCTTTCCTAAAAGCAGGAAAACTCCACTGCAATTTGCCTCTTTTCACACTCTCTGCCAGTCCTGTAAAAGCCAAATAATTCTTGTACCTTCTTCTAACATGAGATCAACCTTGACACATCAACAGGTTGTACTGGGCCAACAAGCTACTAACCACCAGCTGTTCCCACTGTAACTACATGTAGACTGATCTCAGGCAACACTAAAAAACCTGAGGCAACTGAGAATGAACCTTTTTCTCATGAAGAAATAAGGTACTTCTCGTTTATATTAGCACAGAGATGACACAAACCACTGCAAAGAAATGGATATAAAAGATACAGTTTGCCCATAATAACAGAAATGTAAAACTCTTAACTGGGTTTTGAAATCAATGGAAAAGAGCGCAGCAAGGCATGAAGTGCTTTAAAAAAAACAAATGAAGACGGCAATGAAAATGCTGTTACACTTTCACTTAATTTTAACAAATATACCCATAAGAGGTCAGACTGAATAAATACATGAATCCTAGGTAATTTTGTCTATCAAAATTCTTAAAAATCGCTCACAATTTTGCTAATCTATTCATCACTCATTGCTCATATGCTATAAACCAGTGTTTGCAAAGATTAAGTTGGTCTGAATGATTGGTTATGCCTTTGCAAAAAAGAATGTTTCATTCACTAGCTGAAGTACCAGTTCTAAAACGGCTAAGTACATTTGCACTGAAAACCTCTTCCTTTACAGAATTTCAGAAACTAGGTGCTTCTAGACTGTAATCAAATTAAGTTCTTTACCTGAGTAAAGTTGATTGTGCATATATTGTACTCAGGAGGACAAGGGTTTTGCTCAGGAAGTCCATCCACAGAACTTTGATTTGGATATTCCTCTAATCCAAGGTGAGACTTTCCGGGTTTTGGTGATGCAGTTACAGGTCTTAAATCTCCTGAATTTCCACAAGCATCTCTCATCTCTTTTTCTGTTCTGTAAGTTACATATCTACTTAATTTGAATCCAATTTAAGATACCCTGTGCATAGGGTAAATTCAGTACATTTATTTATTTTCTGTTAAGCTTATGTAGTGACAGAGAAATGGGACACGTTTAAAAACTACATCACTCTACTAAACAAAATGTGTAATCTTCAAACAAGTGTACATAAAGTACTTCAGGAAAAAGCCTCCCCAACACCACTAATTGAGACTTTACTACTAAAAGCATGACAAGCTCATTACCACTTCAAAACTGATCAACTCCTTCACATTTCCTTTGAGATGCACCTTCATGGGAGACAATTAAGCAGCAAGGTGATTACTAAGCTCTGAACCAGCAAACGCAAATTAATGTTTTATCTCTAAAAGGTGTCGGACCACATGCAAGAGAGAAAAACCTTCAAATAAAAGCATAAACTCAGCACTCATGTGCATGAACACAGACAGTATCTGTAAGCAGTTTCCATCACAGACAGATATTACACATGGACTAGACATACATAATGAGACTCAGGAATAAAGTCAATATTAACTGATCAATCTTCCTACCTCTCAGTTTTGTTTGCTTGCTTGAAAGGTTCTGTACTTCTAGCTGCAAAATCATGAAGAACTGAAGCATCACCTGCAGCTGGTTTCACCTGTTCTAGTTCCACCTTGTGCACTTCTGCAGCACCTCTCGGGGGTGTAGAGTCTAAGGCACATAAAAGTAAAATTGAAAATAATTTTGTGTTTGTGTGAATGTATATATATATATGCATATTATTTTTACATACAAGCTTTTTTATATTAAAACGTATTATGTAGATGTGTATACACAAACACACCAGAAAAATATTAACCATTTTGCTGCATCTATAAACATTTCTTATATAGTTGAGACATACATACATCTATGTCATCTTGCTTTTGCTATGTTGTGCATTTTGCCAGTGATATGAAGATAACTAAAAGTTTGAAGACCACCATTTTTTCTAAATGCTTTAAGAATACCAAAACAATTCTGTATACCTCCTCTTCTGGTTTTAATAGAAGGGAAAGACAGTTACAATAGAAAAAAGTACACTGTATTGTACTGTATTTCTGTAATTAGCAGTGCAGTAATTTAAGGGCTTTCCTGCTACTTGGATTTAATTTAATTTTACAATGAAGGTACATTTATACATAAAACTATACCATAAATGAGTGTCCTAAATTACAGTGGTGATGCACCATTTGTGAACATGGACAGAAAGTGAAGACAACATTCAGCTTAGTTTCATTTCACAAAGAGATGTGAATCCAACAGAAGAGACCGTTTAGAGAACCCTAGGATAAGAAACAGGCTTACCACTTTGAACTTGCTCTAGTTGTTCCACATGCACATTTGTATCGAGTGACTCCTGAACTACAGTTTCATTGGACTGCAGTACTCCAAAGCCTGGCTCAGGCTCCAGGAGTCTGCCTTGTGTCAGTCTCATACTATTCACCACAGGCAAAGAGCTACACCTGCAAGGAAAAAGGAAAAATCCCATCGGTGTAGTTCTTGATTTTTGACAGTTATTTGTGAGATAAAATTAATATTTTTGACAAAGAAATTTTTTTCTCTGCACCACTGTGCAGAGAAAAGCAACAGAGTAGGTAAGATGATGAAGACCTGGAATACAGGCTGCAGTTGTCAGGGGAGACAGAAGACTATATGGCAGAACAAAATAAATAAATAAATCTGGGAATGCAAACAGGCAGATACTGCAAACTGGGATGTTCTCTACCTTCATAAAAAATAATTGAATTCTTAAAAAAAACATGAAAATACCAGAAACCTAACACTAATCACGCAGGAGTAAGTTCTGGTTAATAATATAACAAAAGAATGAATAGACTTAGAAGTAAAATACCTTTGATTATAATTTTTCATAGGCATATAATCTGATAGTTTGTTCAAGCAATTGACAAGTTAAATAATTCAATTTGATAACCAACAGATTTTTTCTGAAAAGGTTTTCTATCAAGCTGTTTCAACATTCACAAATTCTTGAACAAAATAAAAAAATCAAATATATAAAGCATTAAAAACCACAATGACAGAAGATCAACAGGTTTCTTGATCTACAACAGCAGTGACTCCTAAGCAGTGTGCTCTGGCCTTATTAGCTGCAAAGTACTTTGGGAAAAAGATAATGGTAATTATCAGTGATCCATAACAGCTAAATTTGAATCTTGCTCTCTTTCCCACTAGAGTAAACTTCAGGAGTGGAGAACTAGTTCTACATCCCCAAAATTATATAAGCATCTCATAAAAGTCCTAAGAAACAGACAACAGAGGTTTTCCAGGTCACACACCGACTACATAAACAGAGAAACCTTTGCTAAAGCAAGACTGCTTGCAATTCAATGGAAATGCCAGAAAGAACCTAGCCAAAGTAGCAGAATCTCTCTCCCTAAAGAAAATGAAACAGTAATTTAACCTGTTATCTGTAGCATTTTCCTCAAAATATCCTTCAACACCTATTCTTATGCCAGTGCTTTGATCCTCTACATTAATGTTGCTTCCATCTTCAGGAGAGACCAATTCCTTGGTAGAAGTGTCTGAAGAAAGTAAATACTGACTAGGAGTTCTGTTTTCTTTGGAGTAGGTGTGGGTTACAAGGCCATCCACCATGTTCAACTCATCTTGAGCAGGCAACACATGTGTCCATTCTGGTTAGAAAAATAAACAGAATAGAAAAGCTTTATTTAGAAGATTCAGGTTTGGCATATACATTAAACTATTTTACTGATACTCAATTTCAAACCTCATTTAACAAAGTTTGCATTCTTCAAAGATGCAAATCCCAGGTAAATCCAGTGCTAAGATCAGACATTTGCTAACTGTGCATTCAATCAATAAAAGCTGATACATTCTAGATAGAAGTCTATTAAAAACTCAAATAAACGAAGGTAATTTCAGGTTGTAGTTCATTAAGTGGAAAAAGCTATGCTTCCAGTTAAAGGCCTGATAACTGTTAGGCCACTGAAGTCCAATTCCTTTCTTTTGTCCAATTAATATGACCAAATTGATTCGAACATGTCTGAACTGGCCTCAGAAACATCTTTCTAGCACAGTGATGCAGCTGGCAGAATCCAGCAAGGTGTCTTACTTTATCCAACCAACTCATGTTGCTTGGCCTCACTACACGTTATAACTCATCAGGACTAACAGCATAAAAGATACTTGATCTACTGCTACACAGTAGCACCTGGAAGAGCTTTGCAGCTCCTGCTGCCTCCCTCCTCAGGTGGACCCAGAAAGTACAAGCAAGGCTTTGTACTATAAAACAGATCATACCTTCAGTACTTGTTTTTAACTGGAACATTGGGTCACCCATTGCAAGTAAAGTCATAGCAGCTTCAGTGCTTCCATCATTGATTCCTGCGAAGTTGTTTGCACGTTAAAAATCACAAGGTGATGAACCAGAAATCCACTTATCTATATTCAAAAAGCATTTTATGGACCAAGTTGCTTTGAACACTCAGCAATTCCCATCACTAAATTTAAACTATTGTAAAAGCACTGAGCAGCAACATTAATCCCTTTAATAGTGTACTGGGTAAAGGTGTTGGCAGCAGGGGGGGATACCCTGGACACACTTGTTTCCACTGACCCACTGAAGGACACAACTGAGCCTGTCAGCCAAAATGGTGGCACCTTTGGGAAACAAATATATTTAAGAAAGGGGAAAACACTGCACAGGAGACAAAAACAAGGGAAAAGGTTGTCATAAACAACCCTGCGAACACCAAAGTCGGTAAAGGAGGGAGAGGAGGTGCTACATCCATGGGAGCAGGGATTTCCCTTTAACCTGTGGAGGAGACCTTGTAGAGAACCCATGGTATAGCAGACTTATCCTGAAGGACTTTACCCTATAAGAAGGGCCCCACATGGGAGCAGAAGCATGTGAGCAGAAGAAGCAATGGAGGTTAAATGTTAGGAACTGACTGCAACACCCATACCCTATCTCTCTGTGCTGTGCAGGGTTAGGCAGAGGAGTAGGAAATGAAGGCATGAAGTTGGGCTTAAAAAGGCAGGGAGGAGAAGGTGCTTTAGTTTTTGTCTTTGTTTCTCAGAAGCCTACTCTATTTTGTTTGGCAATAAATTCTTAGTTTTCTCCAACTTTAATCTATTTGGGTTAGTGATCTCCTTGTCTTTATATCAACAAAGGAGCCTTTCCATTTCAATTTTATCCTGTCATTCAGTTGAGGAGGAGTGGGAGAGCAGCTGGGTGGACATCTCACACTCAGACAAGGTCAGCCCGTCACCAATGGAAAAGAAACTGGTAACAGTTTAATTACAGAAATTCCTAAGAAATAGTGTGGATCCATATCTCAGCTGAGACTCCTGGTTCCTAATCTCTGCACAGAGTACATCCCTTTGCCTGTTACTAACAGATCACATCCAATAAAACATTTTCATTCTCTAAAGCTATAGTACAGCCTGGTAGACTTGGCAGGGCTAGGTTGGAATTTATGATCTGTAAGGTCTTTTATAAACAAAATGATTCTATGTAATAAATCAAAAGAACAAAATCGGCTTCCGTTCCTTCAACGAAGACAGCAGTCTGCTCCATTTCCAGTGGTTCCTAGGAGGATGCATTGAAAATGTATTTAGATTTCTTCTGGTGCAACTAATCAGTGCATGGGAAAGTGATAAGACTGAAAGTCACATTCTGACCTCTGGAAACAGAACCTTGAAATGCTTGGTTCCCCCTGCTACTTGATAGAGACCAGTAAAAAAGAAAATTATTTAAAACTCCTCCAAAACAGTATCTCATAAGCAGTTTTGGGATTTTTTTTATAAGATACATAAAACTCTATATTTCCAGTAAGAACAGCTACATATTGGTAGCAAGTTAGCAGGAAACATATGAAGAAGACAATTTCATATCTACCTTTGTCCACCTCTGGATTTTCATGTGCGGTTATTTCCTTAAACAAAAAGAAAAACAATATCAAAGTTCTATATAAAATTAATCCACGATTTTAATCTAACACTTACAGGTAAATTTTCTGCCAAAAAGTGACCCTGGCTTTCCAAGGGTATTTTAAAGTTTAACAATATTTACTTACACAGTTTTGCCATAGCTGTGTCCCTCATATTTGTGTGGGACAGGTAAGAATCTATTAAGCTATAATGTTACAAGCAAGACATGGCAAGCAGACACTATCCACACAGCTTTGTATGTGCTTTGAAACAAACAACAAAAAAAGACATTCTTACAGCTGTTGAGGCTATTACTTTTTCCTCTGTCTGTATTACCAGCTGGACAGATGCATGAGAGGCAATTTCAACATCAGTAGGCACCTGCACATCTGGTATATTCACAGGTATTTCCAGCTGTAAAAATAATTTTTAAGTATTTCAGTTCATAGGCCCCAAGAAGAACAGAGGAACCCTGTCAAATGCCAGTTTTTATAAACCACATACGCTTACCAGATCCTGAACATTCAGTGGGAACTGCCCCAGAAATCAAGTCTCCTACTATATTCCATCTGACTTAAGAAGGCACCAGTTCTATGAACCAGAGGCAGAACTGGTAGTGCTACCTGTAACTAACTGGAAGCACTAGAAAACCTAAGACCAAGCTTGCTTCTAGTTGTTTATTACTCTACCAAACTAAGTTATCCAGCTGAGATCTTTTATGGTGGCTGTTTGCTTCAAGTGGATTTTGTTAGTTTTCACACTTTGTCTGCTTTTTAAGTCCTCAGGAACGAAGTAAAGTCCAGCCTTTTTCCAAAGTAAGAGTAGGAAATACACCCACCCACTATTTTACCGCTTTTTTCTGCCTTCTTTAAGACTGTGTTTTCACTGAGAACTTCAGATATTTGATGTTTTCAGAAACAAGGACTTACAATTTGGCAGAAAGGTTAGTAAATTTTCAGTGAAGTTCGTTTGAAAAACACTGCTTGATCTGGATAGCTTTCAAAGGCTTCGACTTTCACAGATACTTTCCACAGATCTATTTGAATTTGACAACAGCCAAGTCCTCAGGTATCTCACCATATCCCTTAATAGTACTCATGGTTCCCCTGTGCTAAACCAGGAAATTTGATCATCATCCCCACACGTAATATATTTCACATCTTTGAAATTAAGGGATTCAGCAAAATGTTCTGAGCAACTCTGCTGCCACTTTTGCTCTGTAGAGTATCCCCTGGTATTTTGACTGAGCTTTAAGTTCTCCTGATATTTCACCCCGAGAAAAATGTGTGATTAATTCAGGAGACAAAAAAAACCCACCCCAAATAAACACCCAACAAGACTTAAATGGGAGAAGAGAAGCAGATGACTAGCAGTAGTAAACACAACCACACTGGAGTGCATGGAAGGAAGTGGTGGTGAAGATCTGAGGTGTGACTGGAACAGGTTGGTTAAGCAGATTTGGAACAAAGTTAAAAGAGCTGTGAAATCACATCACTGAGGTAAGACAGGCTAGAAGGGACAAAAAAAAGCAAAAATGTCACATTGAATGACAGGGGAAAAAAAATAGGAAAAGTATCTAAACCTTTGAGCACAATCCCCTTCAAGACCTTGAACAGAGCCCCCTGTTCCCAGGCCTTATCAGTTCCCTGATGACAAAAACATATACCATTTCCTCTGTAGGGACTGGTCTTAGCAGATACAATAGCAGGTCTTGCTAGTCTTACAGTCTTGGGTTTTACTCTAGTCTAAGAGTACAATTCAAACATAAGCCTACACTCTAGGCTCAGAGTTTTCAATACTACAAACAGTCCACAGAAGAGTCTAAATATACAGCTTTTGAAAAAAGGTATAAAGATGTAGATGGTGTCTCATTAACATCAATGGGGCTGTGATAGATCTGCCCATGACAGATAGAGCATGAACATCACAATAACAGAATCACAGAGTGATTGGCTCTGAAGATCATCTAGTCCAAAGCTCTTCCTAGAGCAGGAACACCTACAGTAGATTACACAGGAACATGTCCAGATGGCTTTTGAATATCTCCAGAGACAGAGACTTCACAATCTCTCTGGGCAGCCTGTTCCAGTGCTCTGTTACCCTCACAGTAAAAAAATTAGGGTCCTCCATGGGCTGCAGTTGATTCAGGGATGTTGTGTGCAGTGACAGAACAAGGGGTAAAATGGTCTGCAACTTAGAAGGTTCAACCCAAACATCAGAAAAAACTTCTTTCCTGTGAGAGTGACAGAATACTGGAAGTAACATCCATGCTACTTTCAATGCTATTCTTCACAAAATAAACTAAATCAGGACAAAAAACTCAAGTACTCGGCGATACAATTAAAATAAAAACTGTTTAAACAACCAAAACAAAAGCAGATATACAGAACTATAGGATACCTCCTCCATGGTTTCCTCTATCTGAACAGAAATTGGTTTGGGAGATCGCAGACATATAGGAACAAACACTGGAGCTTTGTTTACTTCCTCTGGTGCAAAGCATTCATCTTCATCATCAGGCACCAAGTCATCTGTCTCCTCCTCATCCTCCTCCTCCTCTTCCTCCTCTTGAGAAGCCCGGAGGGTCACCAAAGTTATCTTTGAACTTCTGTGCTCCTTCCCAGATTTCTTTCTAAGTGTAGTTTTCAAACTTTTGCCTCTTGTAAGACTAAGTTTAACTTCTTGCCTTTGATTCCCCTTTTCACTGCAAGCAGCCTCACATTCAGGGGTAGAAGCAGCAGCATGTCTTGGCTCCGAGACATGTTTTGGCAGCACCATCTGTTTTGATGACCTTCTGGACTGCCTCCTATAGTTCAGAACAAAAGTATGTTTAAAAAATAACAAAGTCCAAAATATATTAAAAAAAAAAAAAGGGATATTACAAATAAAAATAAACTAACTGAATAAAAATGGATCACTGTCACCACCAATATAATCTATTTACTTTACAGTGGTAAAAATACATCCATGTACCATCTAATCAGAAATCCTAATTTCTTCATGTATGCACAAAGTACTGATTGCATACATGTATGAAGCAGTTTTGGAGTGCTGGAAAGCTGCAAAATTTAATTTACAAAATAAAGTTTTCTTTGTTTAGAAAAGGATTCATTAATTTTCATTTTGAAGGACGTGGAAGTTACATGCTTATTACATCATGGGAACCTTTCTAGTTCTCTTTGCTAAAACCATACCAGGAGCTGAAAATTATGATATTTTAGTTGATGAGACTAAATGTCCAGAAACTAGAACCGGATAACTAATTATCTGTGCCAGTTTCTCAGACAGCAATCTGTTCCACAATCAGCTGCTTACTGCTTCTCGCCTCAAGATGATGGGCACCTTGGGTACTAACATCAATTCCAAACTTCCCCCCAGTAACATCCTCCTCAGTAAACAGTAGGTACAGGAAGCAAATAGCAGCAGAGGACACTTCCAGCACAGTGTTCATTTTATGAGGGTGCAGGCACAGTAAGAGACACAGGGATGTTTGCCTGCATCTGGAAGGGCTCAGATGGAAGACACAAGGACTGGCATCCTACACACACTCTCACAACACACTGCAGAAAAATGACTAATAATTATTATTGTTTTAAAAACAAAAGCCAAAACCAATCAGTTGAGCTTAAAAGCCCAAATTAGTTGATTTACCTTGAGTGATTGTCTGAATTTTTTTCCTGAGAGGTAGAAAGCTGAAAATCATCTTGTTGTACTTGACTCTCACCCTCTGACGGTATTTCTGGAGACTGAAGACTGTTATCCTGCCTGAGCCTTTTACATGGTGTTTCTTCAGAGTCTGTAAGATTTTGTTTTCTTGTAGCCTCTGAGAACTTTGCAGCTTCCACTATGTTACTAGAGTTTTGCTGAACAGAGAAGACAATTACTACTATATTAGGTACCAAATATTTGTAACTGGTTTTGAGGACAAAAAGATTTGAAGAACTAAGTTTGAGGTTCTTTGAAACATGCCCAGCTGTCATCTCCAATAGCTGAGGACATTTTTTCCCATTTTCTTTAATATCAGGCTCTATAGCAAAAGTGTCAATTAGATCATATTATCTATGATGACTGAGTTTCCAGTGTTCCTGCTAATTAACAGAACAAGGCCATACTCAACTTATCAAGAACAGCAAGCCTTCAGAAACTGGAAAGATTAATTATTTTCTAAAAATACATATTAAAGAACAATTTGAGGGAAGGAAAAAATTTTTTTTTTCTGCCCTGGGAACAAAGTAGGAAGAAAAAGCTACAATAGTTTACAGAACCACATTTAAATATTATTCAAAACACACACAGAGAAACATATTCCAAAATAGAAAAAAAATCAGCAAGCACAGTTTTGTTAAAAATTTCAGTGATCAATCTACAAAATAAGGAATACTAGATAAACTTGATTCGTGTACTGCAACTTGAGACAGAGAAAGAACTAGTCTGGGCTAGATTAGGCCTGTTGAGTGAATTTAAGCAGAAGGAAGTCTTAACTGTGTTCACACACATTTCATCTTGCAAGTATACTTACATAGATTTTAGATAATATCTGATGTTAGACAGCTGCCTTAACTTCCATTGTTCAATTAGTAACAGACATTAATTGGTAACAGGGACAGCTTACCATTATGATAGTCCATACTTCTGACCATATTAAATGTAAAACTTAAGACAATAGTGTACATTAGATATTTCCACAGTTTTTAGATTCTAAGTCCATTTATTCAGCATAGAATCACAGAAACCTTTCCCAGCCACACAGTGAATGGTGCCATCTATGGTTCTGAGAACTTAAAACACAAAAGTCGAGGTATAAACTGGCTGTAAAACTCACCGTTGATGAAACAGTTTTCTCTAACACCAAACACTCTTTTGCATTTATTATCTCAGCCTTGTCCTCTTCTCTGTTTTCACCACCTTCAGGATGATCTCTTTTTCTAGTAACTCTCTTTAGGTTTGGCTTTGTGTTCCAGTGGGATTCCCTCACTTGATGCAAAGGTTTTGTATCACTCTGTTTACTTTCTTCTCCAGATCTTGATTTATCATTTGACCTACAAAGATATTTTGCAACTTTTACTTCTCAAGAACTATAAAATTCACTCTACAAGATTGGTTTACTATCAAATAATTACTACTTCCACCTAGTGATGAACTGAGTGATATGCATTTTTGTTTGTTTAGTTGGTGAAGTTTAAAAAAATAAAGGAAGAAAGAACAATGTGAAAAGGATATAATTTGCTTTTCTGTAGTAGTGGACTTTTGCTATTACTTCTGGAAAAGTCTTTTGAAAGTAAAACAACATTAAGGAGTCAAGAGGAGCTGAAAGTTTCTGCTATACTCCCATAGGTCCTCAAAATTTAGCAATCATAGGAACATTATATTAATTCCAGTGCTCAAAGTACTGCTCCTTTAAACTGGAAAAAATTCTTACACCTCTTCGAGCACATTCTGATCCATAACACATAAATCTTGGGCTTTTAAACTTATCTCTCAGAAAAGGGCAAGGAGGATACAAGCCAGTCAGCCTCACCTCGGTCCCTGGCAAAGTGGCAGAACAACTGATCCTGAAAACTACTTCCAAACATATAAAAAACATAAAACATATAAAACATAAAAAACATATAAACATATAAAAAGGTAACTTGAAGTAGTCAGCATGGATTCACTACAGGGAAGTCACGCTTAACCAGCTTGATAATCTTCTACAGTGAAATGACTGGATAGATAAGGGGAGAGCAGTAAATAGTGTCTACCTTGCCTCCAGTAAGGTTTTTAACAGAATAAATTCAGCCCTGTTTCTAAAACATTACAGCTTACATTAGAAATATTTAGCAACTTGATAAAACAACGAAGCAGGTTGAACAGCAAAATGGAAGAAAACATGGAAAGAAGAAAATAAATACATTTTGTGCATAATTCTTAACAAGTCAAATGCAGTTATGATTTTTGTCTTAAATTGGTCAAGGCATAAAGCTGTACTGTTAAAGATATAAACAGGGAATAAATATTTTTATTTCATCTTATTCAAGAATCTTCCCTACATCCTCATAGGGGAGCTGATGCATTATGGGCTGGATAAACAGACAAGAAGGTGCACTGAAAACCAACTGAATGGCTAGGCTCAGTGGCACAAGGCCTAGCTGGAGGCCAGTATCTAGCACTATACACTGTAGGTCAATATTGTACCCAGTTCTGTTCAACATCTTCATTAGTGATGGTGAAGGATGTTCCCTCAGCAAGTTTACAGATGATGCAGAACTGGAAGGAGCAGCTGATACACCAAAGAGTTGTGCTGCCAAGCAGAAGGTGCTGCACAGACTGGAGAAGTGGGCTGACAGGAACCTTCAGAACTTAAGCAATGGGCAGTATGAAGTCCTGCACCAGGGTAGGAACAACCCCAGGCACCAGTACATGCAGGGGGCCAGCCAGGTAGGAAGCGGCTTTGCAGAAACGGACCTGGGTGTCCTAGTGGACACAAATATGAACATGAGCCAGCAGTGTGCCCTGGCTGGAAGAAAAAAAACAAAACCTAACAGTATGCTGGGCTGGATTAGGAGCAGCACTGCCAGCAGGTTGGGAGAGCTGATCCTTCCCTTCTACTCAACCATAGGGAGGCCATATCTAGAGTACTGTACTGGAGCACCAGAACTGGTCACAAGACAGACAGGGACACACTGAATAGACTCCAGAAAAGGGCTACCAAAGGTGAAGTGACACAATCATCTCTCCAATGATGAAAAGCTTTTCTGAAAAGAGTGGGGACAGTTCAGCCTGGAGAAGGAGAAAGTTTGGTGGAAGTATGTGGGGAAATCACATTACAATGTATATAAATACCTAAAGGGGAGGTGTAAAGATAGATGGAGCCAGTCTCTTTCCAGTGGTGCCCTATGACAGGACCAGAGGCAATAAGTACTAACTGAAACTCAGGAGGTTTCCTCTGAGCACCAAAAAAACACTTTTTCACCCTGCAGGTGATGGACCACTGGCACAGGTTGCCCAGGGAGACTGTGAGGTTTCCGTTGCAGGCTATACTGAAAAGCTGTCTGGACATGGTATTGGGCAACCAGATCTAGGTGGCCCTGCTTGAACAGGAGGGCTGGACCAGATGTCCTCCAGAGGACTTTCCAACTTCAACCATTCTGTGAAATTCCACCATCATGAAGCCAAGAAGACTGCAAAGTCTTGACAGCACAACACTCTGGGATAGTATTTCAGTGTGAGTTATGGAAAGAGGTTTTAAGCAGAGGCTTAGAGACAGACAGGACCCAGAATCTGATTGAAGAAAACAGTAAAAGTAAATTGATTTGCTGCTCCTCTGTATCATTTAAGACTGAGCAAAAGATGGCTTATAACGTAATCCAGAACTGCTACAAGTAAATGGCACTGCCTCACAAAAAGCATCCTGTCTACCAAAGAACCAGGACACTGCATGTCACTGCATGAACGTCTTCTGGAAAAAAAAAACAGTGAAAAGACTCAAAATACATCTTAGACAGCAAGCTCATTTTCTGTTACACTATCTAGTACTTCTCAATTTTGAGTGAGGGTGAATGGCACGGCTCAGTTTTCCTTTCAATGGTCCACATTCACTGTGCAGTGTACCTTAAGAATGTATTACTGAGAGATTTAGACAGTTAAAGTCTGATTACTTGCTTCTACTCTTGCCTGCAAAATACTTTCTAAAAGAAAACATCCTTGAGAAAAATGCTGTTAAAAAACTCTTTTATTACCTAAGGTTGCCACCTACCGACCTTCACAGCATATAGCATATAACAACTAGCACAGCTCAGAGCACACAAGCAAGTGCTGTACAAAAACAGCTGGACAAATACACGAAGTTTTTAAAGAGCTTTTTTGCTTGGTCAGCATGGAACTTTACCTTTCCATGGAATCCTGAATGCTTCCTAGAGCATCTGTAGGAAGACATTCTTCTTGTTCTCCCTTCCTGTGGTAGTTAAGTGATTTTTTACAGGAACCTTGTGTTTCTGATTCAATACTTTTTGGATCTGTGTCTAGATTGGACAAATCCCCAGCAAACAACAATACTTCCGTGTCATCCTTAGGCTTGAGGGGAAAAATCAACACAACAATATTAGCATAAAATACCTGTAATAAAAGCATCACAAGTTATGATAAAGACACTAACCTAAGACAAAACTTTGCTTAAAAACTTTCAAGTACTTTAAGATACCCATTACTGTTCCTTGTCCCTTTAGAGAAGGTATTTATCTAGTAAAATATATATACCATAACCAACATAGTCTTCTATGAGCAACCACCAAGGAGTTCAGAAGAAAACCTACAATAGAAATGTGGCATGCAGGTAAACTATTAATGTATCATGAAGTCTTTAGATTTGTTAACAATAGTCTTTATATTATCTATGTGTCATTAAAAGAATTTTAGATGATCTCAAATTAGAGTGCAAACATTATCCAAGAATATATTTCTTACTAGTCCAAAATCAATTTATGCATTTTAAAACAGCTTATTTAGATGTCTTAAAAACAACTGGTGCAGAACAAAGCATCAGAAAGTACAGTCAGAAACATCTGATCAGAATTCTCACTTTGGAGGAAGGAAGTTCTTCAGATCCTTCTACCACAGGCAGGTTCTCTCCTTTATTTACTTCTTCCTCAACTGGAGCAGCAAGTTTTTGTGCCACTGGAGATTCTTCTTTGCTACATGCTCCTTCTAGGTTTTGTCTTGTTCTTGGAGATCCATTCCTTATGGATTGTTCTGGTTTCAGAGCACCCAGTTCGTCATCTTGGGAAGTGCATTTTGCAACACTAGTGAATTTAAAACAAACAAAACAAAACCAAAACAAACGAAAATAAAGATGTCAGAACTGTAGTTGGGAGGGAGAAAATCAACTAATTAGTTTTGAATCAACACTTGCACTAAAGGGTTAGAGACTGATACACTGTCTTGCTTAAAATCAAGAAAAATATATTTTCGAATATGTATTTAGAATTTTTTGCATGTATGGTTAACTTGTGAGAAGGAATAACAAGACTGCTTTGTCAAGGCATTTTTAACATCAAGAAAAAAGTGTTGCTGCTAACCATACCAACACCAAAGTATCTGCAGTCTCATACATGCCTAAGATCTTAACAGACAGATTTTAACAAGAAGAGCAGTGAAACGGAAGAGCACACTGGGATCCATGGAACACAGAGCTCTGACATTCTGTAAAACTTATTTTACTGTATGTGCAAATATAAACCAAACAAAAGAAAAGTTTGATCAAAAAGAGCTATGAGCTCATACAGGTCAAGCACATACCAGATAAAGAATGTTAAGTAGTTCAGATCAACTGAAAATGTGCTCTGAAAACATGGGAAGAAGCTGCCTGTAGGCACTGAAAATTAAAACATTGAGGAACAACAGCTAAAAAGGAAAAAAGAATTGACACTTGTCAGGGTGTATCATTATGCATCAGATGAAAGCTTTTAAAATGCAGGTTTGCTAAACTCTAAACTCACCTGCTTTGTTCACACAGTATGTTTTCAGAAGTACAGGGCAACTGAGGCACTGCTTGCTGTTCCTGTTCCTCATTGCTCCATACCTCCGTTCGACAGAGCACAGCTTCATTTTCACCCTTTAATTTGCAATAAAAAAGCATGAATAAAAAGAGTCAAGCAAGCTCTTAAGACACATACGTATTTTATAAAATTATATGAACTACAGATTTCCATACTATTTACCCAACCTGAATCAAGAAAAAGAAAAATCACATTCTATTTATTTGGGGTTATCTGCCTAAGCAGATAATTCAATTTGCAGGCAATCAGGAAGAGTAGCCTTTGTAGTCCTGGACTACCTAGAGTTTTGCTCTTAAATACTATATGGACCCAAGCATTAGAGGCAACACTTCTCTATTCAGTATTTAATCAAGTCTGTATTACATGGATCACTGTGTACACAAAATAGTTCAGCAAATGGAAAAAATCTTTGAAAACTGGACACTGCAAAGCACAGCAGGGACAGACCTATGCCACTATAACTAAACCTCAGATTCAGAAGTGCTCATCAGTTTTACTTCTGCATTTGTCAGAGTGGTTCCACAAAGAAGCCACTCAAAACACATCCCTCAGCACTCCACATCTGTGGCAGTTTTATTAGTACAGGGAACCATCAGAACTGATTTGGTTCTGCAGATCTGCACAGCACATAGCAGATGCACGTGCACGGTAGACAGGCCACAGGTCTAAAACAGCCCAGTCTGAACTGCAAGCAACTGTCTCAGCTGGAGGTGAGCTGACAATGGCACTGAGAGGGACATGATCGACACCGAGCATCCGTGCACCCCTCTGGGAATGCAGCACACAAGTATTCCAAGTTGGCTCTACACAGGTTCAAGAACAAAACCAGCTATAACCACTCCAAAAAAAGAGTCACTCTTGCAAAGCTTAGCCGTGTTGGAGATCTAAGGCAAGTCTATACAGACATGCCTACATCCATTACATGGCCCATGAGCAACCTGCAAAGTGGTTACAGAGTTAATCCTACTGTCATGGCTTCTTTTGAGAATTTCAGTACCTTTTACTAGTAAAGTGCCTGTAGGGATACACAGTGCAGATAAATGACTCAGTTTATCTGTGTAAGGTAGAGGAGTGTCAGGCACTGCAGTGAAGCCAAAATTTACCAAACCAATATGACTGTTTTTTCAAGCAGAAAAACAACAATCTTCTCTGCCTTTTGATTCTCTACAGACTTGATTCATTCAAACAGAAAAGATAAAGTGAGCAAAAAGGATGATTCTATGTATTGCAATACAAAACACATTTTTATTCTAGAGTTTAACTTAAATGTGCATAATGCGCTTTTTTTTCCTATAGTGCAAACCAATCGAAACCAGATCTTCATTTTTCAGAAGACATTTATAGTACTACTTGTAGACTTCACTGATTTCATACCTGCAATAGCTCAACATAGGAGGTTTGGGGATTTTTTTTCAGTATCATGTCTCAGCTTCAGGGAATGCAACTTAAATATTCTAATTTAACTTCATTAAATGACATGCAATTTGGAACCAGACTTCTGAAGGCCAAGTGCATATTCTTAGGACTTACAATGACAGCACTGGCAGACTCATCTTCTTGCAACAGCAACTTCTCTGCTTCAGGCTTTTTCTCCCTCTCGCTTTCTGGTATTTGTAATTCCTTCTTTCCAACCAATTTTCTTAAGTTTGGCTTGTACCTCTGGAATCTGCTCTGCACTAACTGGACAGGTTGAATAGGTATTTGTTTACTTTCTTCTTCAGTGTTATTTTTGCTATAAAGGCAAAGGCAGACACACACGTAAAAACCAACATCAAAACTTAATACAAAAACATGCAATTAACAACCAGATTCATTATATTTACATATAAAAAACAATGGAGTTTTAAAGAAACCAGATAAAAGCAAGGTTCTGCTTTCAAATTTCAAAGCACTGGCCTACCAATTACATCTGCAACAGAATTACTGAAGTAACTATCTTACTTTCTGCTTATCATCAGATAAGCAGAGAACTGAGATTTCATTCAGTATTTTTATTAGATTTGCCAGTTAGCAATCCATCAGCACAATTACTTCCTTTTAGAACACTTTCTATTTGTTGCTATAAAGAAACAGAAGTAGCTAAGTCCCTACCCTGCAGTAGTAGCTGAAGTGTCATCTTGGTTAATTTCAGGTAGATATAATTCAAGTTCACCATCCTCTGATCTTGAAAACGTCTCTGGGGACTCACAACTTGGCCTCTCAGAAACCTGAGCACAAAGTGACTCTGCCTTTCCTGAGGATTCCAATGGTTGCAGAGCTTCATATTTTCCTGTTTTCTGAACAATGTAAACACAAGAAAAAGTCATTATCCTAAACCAAAAGGAGACATTACAATATCCATTTAGTTTGGTATTTATCACTCTCCAAGTGTTTCCTACAAAAACCCCTCTGTAACTGCTCACTAATAACTTCCTACTCTGTCCATGACAAAGTCACAATTTTTTTATTTTAAACAAAATAGCTCAAAATCTAGATTTCCTCTTTGTCATCTTCTATTAATACTTTTCTTTCTTCACTGTCAACTCTGCAAGGGCATCCGGTCAGAAAGTCATCTGGACACAAAACAAGAAATACCAAATGCATGTGATGTTTTTCTCCTCACACACAACTAAGACAAAAATACATAATCTTCACATAGAAAATTTTAGCTTTTGAAAAAACTGATTAAAAAAGATGAAATTTGTATTTTTTAAATAATCAGTATTTCATTTCACATGCCCAAAAGCTCAAATACAACTAAAAGGAAAAAAAAAAAAGTCTTACATGTGTATCAGAAAGGATGCTACAATCACTGTCACATTGTGTCAAATCTTCTTCCCTATTTCTGTCTTGCTGTGATACACCTTCATAACTTATGTGCAACATTTTCCTTCTACTAGTTGTCATTCTTAAATTTGGTTTTGGTCTCTGGAATCGACTCTTCAGTAGCTGAGTTGATGATACAACAGTTTTCTCCTCTTCCTTTCTAGGACCAGACTCCCTTCAAAAACAAAGGAACAATTGAAGGCATGGGACAACAGTGATCTTCAAGTCATGCAAATCATACTTGCCTGCAGCTCTCTTCAATAGAGTAGCCAAGTATAAAAATCCTTAGCTTTCTTAGAGCAGTAACAAAGTTACTGACACTGAAAATAAGATGCAACAGAAGGACATTGAACATCACCAAAAATGCATATCTTAAAATAGGTGAGCAAAACAAGTTAAAAAAAGATGCCATTTCAGAACAACTGCAACTTCCAGTCACACTTTAAGAGGAATAGAAATATTTTACAAATGTCGTTGTGTAATGATGTTTAAAACTACCCAGTAAATTTACAGCACAGCTGGGTTTTTTTATTATTTTTCAAGGACACACTAATAAGAAACCAATCCCTATACTCAAGAATTTATGTAAGCACAAAGGTATACACTGTTAGGACTGACATTGAGAAGTTAACCACAGGAAACGAGCATCAGAAACATTTATTTGAAAACTGGGCTCACAGTCTAAAGATCAAATTAACATCCAGTTGCAGATAGATGTAGGCTTTCAAGCTCTTGGGAGTGTAAGTCTAGTATTGTACAGATTGAACATCTCATTATAGATATAAAACCTGTTTCTAATGCTGGAGTTGAATGTAAAAATGTAGAATACCTACAGATACTGATGGCTTTGCACAATCCCTTCTCTCCATTTAAAATGTAACCTTACCCCACACTGAAATCTGGAACCTGTTTCTGGACATCTGATGATTCCTTTTCACTTTCATAGCTTTCTGCTTCAAAGGGTTTTTCTTGGGAATGCTGCCTTGTATGTATTGAGCTCCCCTCAGAATCTGTAGAAACATTCCCCTCTAAAATCACATTGCATGGTTGAGTGTCTTCATGAATCACCATCACATCCTAAAAGGAATAAAAGTTTCACTCTATTAAGATGAAAGACTTGCTTGACCTCCATTTTAAGAGGGGAGGGGGGGGAGTTTGTTTTAGTGTCTTTCACAAAATCACCCAAAAGAATCTCTCTTGCTACGTGTACATCCGAAATCTAAAAGTAAAAATTTGTTATTTTTCTATATGCTTTCTGAAGTTTCTCTTTTCCAAGACAGCTTTTTTCTCTGTCCTTCTCTTTTCAGATCTAGTATCACAATTAAGACAACAAAATGAGGTAAAATCCATCCATCCATGGAAAACAGATGTAAGCTGGAAGCATGAATAAATTCTACGACAAGTCAGTTTATTCTGGAAGAATAAACTAAGCACACAAAGACTATGCTTACAAATTATGTGGTATGTACTTAGATCTTTGTCACTAACGGCTTCTACTTCGGACCCAGCAAAACAGCATACCTAACCAACTGCTCAAGAAACTTACATTTTTGAGGCATGGATCATTGTTTCCATCCCTGTGGTGTATCAGGCCTTCTTCTGTTTCTCCACTCTGAGATTTCTCCTCTTCAGGATCTTTTTCTTCTGGCAGGTCCTTTTGCTTTGCAACAGTTCTTCCTAGATTTGGCTTTGGTCTTTGCAATCTGCCTCTCTTTAGAGGTGTTGGTTTCAGCACACACTGTTTGCTGTCATCCTGTAAGCCAGCTGTTTCATTAGACCTGGAAAAAAGCATCAGATCCATACGCACATAAAGCATCTAAAAGCAGAGGTGCCTTGGAGAAGTGTTATTTTTTCCTTTTTTTTTTTTCCTCCCCCCTAAACATTTATTGCAAACACACAGAATAATAATGGTAGGAGCTGGAAGAGACACATGGAGATCATCTAGCCCAACCCCTCAGCCAGAGGGGGTTCACCTAGAGAAGGTTGCATTACCATAAACTTACCTAAAACAGCTATGCATTACTAACTTCATGAAGCAATAAAGTTAGAGGTGTATCTGCTATAGAGCATCCAACAAGTTTAAACTTATATTTGTTCTGTTCTTTTTCTTTCTCAGTGGAGAGAGGATACCACAATAGACAAACTTTCTTCTGACCCATAATAGCTCTTCTTGTGTTCCTACCTGGTCTAGCTGAAGATGAAGGGTTTTATGAAGGTTTAAAAAACTTAAGGGTTAAAAATCACAAGCATTTAGAAAACACAAATAACTCCACAATCTTACTAACGTAAAAATACAGATACACATTATCACAACTGTCAGATGCTTCTATGTCTTTTTACCTTGGGCTCCAAGTTACACAGCATGTTAATGAAAGAAAAAACTGCTGAAGTATTTTTTTGCCAGATTATCAAACCCAGTTGATCTCCCTCCACCCTCTTCAACTACTCTTTTTTGTTTGGTTTTGGGTTTTTTTGCTAACCTCTGCTGTAAAAATATATGCCTCCTTTTGCACTACAGCAGCCATTTGTCCACTGAAGAGAAATAAAAGAAACACTTTGTAATTAACGTACATTAAATTGCCCACATATTGGAATTTTTTCTCCCAATACCAGGCACCTAACACTTTACCACACTTTAAGAGGAAACATTTATTCCTATTGTTTAAATACTTAACCACTGAAACTGATGCATTTCAGTATTAAAGCTAGTGGAGAAGGCTTGTTCAAGTTTTCAAGGACTAATTGTTCAGGTATGGTTGCATTTATCATATTTGACATCTCATTTAAAAGCACTGCTATAAAAAAAACTGTTTGATCTATTTGTTCCATGCATTAAAATTCATATTCTTCTCTCAATTTCTGCCTCACTGCAGAGGTTTCCTCAGAAACTTCTACAATTACTTCACTATGTAATAATACCAGAAGTTAGAGGGATGTCAAACTTCTGGAGAGCAGCACGTGTCTTCTCATTTTCACATACTTACTGAGACATTGTCTCCAGGACTTTATTATCTTTTTCTGCTGCTTCTTCACTGGTAGCATCAGATCTATTACTTTGGTCAGTATTCTGAACAGAAACAGAACATTAAGACATTAACTCTCCTATATTCATGAAGTTACCCAACAAACCAGGTAACTGTCCAGAACAGGATACAAAATGAATTCCTTATGACAGTCACAGACATTTGCATAGTCAGGAAGGTGCAGTAAAATCTAGATCAAAGAGCTAAACCTGTATTCACTACAGCACATGAAAACCTACCGGCAACTACTTGTCGGATGACAAGCTCCCAGCTTAGCTGAGGCCTCTAAGCAACATGACACCCTCACTGCTGGTTAAGCAAGTGACTGATTTCTGGTCATGCTCATTCTTTCATGGAGTGAAAGAAAAACGAAAAAGATAACATTGCTGTTGCATACAGAAGCTTTTTAGTTAACACGTTATCTCCAACTATGTTACTCTATTAAATACCTTTTCTGTTTCTCCCTTAGGTTCTCCCCCAGGCTGTAGATGGGGCATTTTGTCTTTTTCTGCATCTTTTTCGGGCTCTTCTTTCCTTCCAGATGCTCTTATAACATTAGGTTTAAATCTCTGACGACATCCTCTAACTATTGGCTTTGCAATTACAGTTTTTTCAGGTGCTCTGCACAAAGAATCCACAACAGTGAAATTTATTGCATAATATTCAAGCCTATGTAGTCTTAAATGATTTGCACAGCTTTCTTTATTGGAAATTGGGTTGCCTTCTAAGGAATTTGCACAAATTTATGCAAGGTTTTTTCACATGAGAACTAAACTTTGTTTAGAGTGTGGAAACTCTATTAAAAATACATGATGTTATCACACAGGGGAGGAACCTAACTAGCCTGCACACCATAGCTGCTTCTGCAAGTGTCAGAAGCAGAGCCAGCAGTGGCAGCTGAAGGTGGGATGAAGGCAAAGACACAGTTACCACTCTTCACCCTTCCTCTCATAAATTCCAAGCGTAGTTGGTACTTCATAAAGTATTGCTTTCCTCAACTTCCCAGAAAAGCAGCACATACCTTCTGTCATAATTCCACTTGATATCATCCAAGAGACTTACAAAGTTTATGATTTATATTAAAACTTCACAATTACTGTTGCCTTTTAATAACAGCACTATACAGAATAAATAAAGAATCATAGTCGCAGAGTCATCAGGGTTGGAAGGTACCTCTCAACATGATCTAGCTCAACCTCCCTGCTAGAGCTAATCAGTTAATTCCAGGAGACTGGGAAAGTTATCTCAATACTCACTCAGATTTAGTATCCAAATCTGTCTTCTCATTTCTGTTTCTTCTACTGTCTTCCTCACAGATCTGTAATTGAGGTAAGGAGTATTACTCTTGGACAAGTGTGCAGATACCTCAGAAGCAGTTCTCAGAATACTATTTAGACTGTAGGTGGTCCACAGTATCAACATTCATCAAAACAGATACAACATGAAGAGCACAGCATATTAAGCAATGCTTCTGCTTCTGACCTTTTCATCTGCATTCACATGGTTTGGGGAGGAAGTCTCAGCCTCCACTTTTTCTTGGGTTGATGCTTCCCTCCTTCCACATATTCTCACTATATTGGGTTTAGGTCTTTGCAAGCGCCTTCTGTCTGGTGGCTTTTCAGTTTTCCTTAAGATGCAAAAAGAGGTGATATATATTATTACAAAAGAGAAACTATTCATAGTGAAGTCTTATACAGTCCAAGATATACCTGAAGAATACCACAGACTGCACGGGTACTGCAGCAAGACAAACTGGAAAAATATTAGATCTTTTTGATATTAGAAGATAACCTACTACTTAATGTAAAGACTGTTAAATAAACTGTAACAACTTTGGTGGCTTTCAGTGGCATCTAATTAAACATATGTGAAGGAAGCATGTCCTTCTGCTAAATAAACAGGAATACCTCTTCTCCTAGGCATTCACAGTTGATGTCAGTGTGAATAGCCTTCTAATTTAAATAGAAACAACAGAAATGAATCAGTCTCACCTCTGTGTCTGGCAAGGTCATGAAGCAGATCCTTCTGGAAACTATGCTATGGCACATGGAAAATAAGGAGATGCCTGATGACAGCCAACATGGCTACATGAAGGGCAAATCATGCCTGACAAATCTGGTGGCCTTCTATGATGGGGTTACACCACTGGTGGATAAGGGAAGACTAACTGTTATCACCTACCCAGACATGTGCAAAGTGTTTTACACTGTCCCCCACAACATCCTTGTCTCTACATTGGAGACACAAGGACTTGATGGATGGACCACTCAATGGATAAGTGGCTGGATGGCCATATTCAGAAAGTTGTGGTCAATGGCTCTATGTCCAAGTGAAGTCCTCACTCACAGTTCTATGAATTGCTGTTTTCAAACACCCTGTTCTACTGAGAGAACACTTAGATCATTGAAGAATGGGGTACATAAATCAACCTGTGTCCTTAGCAATTCCAGTCTCATATTGTGGGATGCACATACTGTTTGACAGAGCCCTACAGCTTATCAATAATCTTCAGATTGGGACCTACTATCTTTTCTCATCCTCTTCCTAAAATAGGATGAAAAAAGCTTTGACAGTCTTCACCATAAGAGTGAGCTGCCCTTCAATAAGGGACAGACAGGATGAAGAGCAACTTAACATTACTAGGCCACCCCTTGATCACCCTTAAACTGTATAATGGAATAGCATGTCACTGATTATACACACATAGAAACTCTAGTCACAAACTTGTTTTAACACCGCTGCTCTGTTACAGCAATAAATCTAAGAAATAATTACACAGATTAACTTCATAAAGGAGAGAAGGTAAGACACAGACAAGTATCTTCTAGGAAGATGTGTTCAACTTAGACTCTTGCACTGAGTTCCATAGAGCAAAAGTTTCCAAACACAGAGATATGAAAATACCATACACATGATGTGTACAGCTAATCAGCTCTGGACTACTGTGAAATTCAAATAATACAGTGAGGCTCTTTTGTAAAGAAAAAAATCAACTTCCACAACCAAGGATCACCTACAAAATAGCAGAATATCAGAGAAATCTCTTGTTCTTGCTGGCTGTAGAGGGGCTAGGTTTTTTTTAAACTTAAGTCTTACTCCTCATTCTGTGTAACATTTCACATCTTAGTCAAAGTATTGTTTCTCAGTGATCAAAACTTCTATCAAAAAACTTCACTGAATATGGAAAAAAGTCTTACCATGAGCTACAATCTAATTCAACCTACTACGTATAATCAGAATTATACCCAAATTAAGTAAATGCAGGTATAGGTCAAGTATTGCAAATAATTCTACTTACATGATTTCAGACTGCGAATCACTTTCTGATGCACTCTGTTTTTCATCTGGTCTACATAAGTCATGTATGTCTTTGTTCTGAGTAAGGAAAAAAATGTTGTAAAAAATAACAATAAACAATAAATATAGAAAACCTCTTTGCTGTAATATAAAGAAAAGCAGAAACAAGAGCAAGTGTCTCAGAATAGTTGAGGTGGAAGGTACCTCCTGAGGTCATCTGATGCAACCCTCCTGCTCAAGCAGAGCTACCTAGAGCTGGTTATCCAAAACCAAGTACAAACAGCTTCACAATATTGCCAAGTCTGGAGACTACACAGTCTCTCTGGGTAATCTGTGCCGGTGTTCCATCACCCTCAGAGTGAAAGTGTTTCCTGTTATTCAAAAGGAACATTCTAAGTTTCAGTTTGTGCCCATTTTTCTTGTCCTGTCATTATGCACCACTGGAAAAAGCCTGCCTTAATTGTCTTTGCCACTTCCCTATAGGTTTTTTTTAACAATCTTTAAGATACGGTCCTGAGTCTTTTCTTCACCAAGCTGAACTTTCCCTGCTCTATCAGTCTTTCATCATAGAAGAGATGCTTCAGTCCCTTCACCTTTTTCACAGCCCTTTGACAAGCTATCTCTGTTGTTTCTGTATGTCTCATACTGGGGAGCCCAGAACTGGTTGCACAGTGTGGCCTCCCCAGCACTGAACTGGATCAGCTCCCCCAGCCTGCTGGCAATGCTGCTCCTAATGCAGCCCAGCATACTAATAGCCTTTTGTTTTCTTCAGCCAGGGCACACTGCTGGCTCATGTTCATCTCTGTGTCCACCAGGACACCCAGGGTTCTTTTCTGCAAAGCTGCTTTCCACCTTGGTGGCCTTCTGCATGTACTGATGCCAGGGGTTATTCCTACCCAGGTGCAGGACTTCATACTTCCCATTGCTGAAGTTCTGGAAGTTTCCATCTGCGCCTTTCTTTGCGCCTTTTTATTGGCTAAGCTCATAACAGACTCCTTAGGCAGTATCAGCTATCACTACTTTCCAGGTCTAGTATTTAAATAATTTTCCTAGCAAACACTGACCATCAGTATGAAAATGAAAAAAATATAAATATTTACAACATAGCAAACTAGTCACAATTACAGCAAAGACTTTATGGAATCTATTTACTGAATTAAGGTAAAATCCTACTGCATAAAAACAATTTCTCTATTTATCTCTTTGATAAGATTATTAGAATCACATTTCACAGCTCTGGAGCCCCCAACACAAGTAAGACGTGGACCTGTTGGAACCTGTCCAGAGCAGGGCCACGAAAATTATCTGAGGGCTGCAGCTCCTCTCTTATGAGGACAGGCTGAGGGAGCTGGGGTTGCTCAGCCTGAAGAAGAAGGCTCCAGAGGGAGCTCGTATTGACCTTCCAGTACCTGAAGGGGCTACAGGAAAGCTGGGGAGGGACTGTTTACAAGGGCTTGTAGAGAGAGGACAAGGAATAATGGTTTTAAACTAAAAGAGGAGAGATTCAGGTTAGAGAACCGGAGAATATTCTTTAGTGTGTGGGTGGTGAAGACACTGGGACAGGCTCCCCAGAGAAGCTGTGGAAGCTCCATCCCTGGCAGTGTTCAAGGCCAGGTTGGATCAGGCTCCGAGGAACCTGATCTAGTAGGAGGTTTTCCTGCCCATGCAGGGCAGTTGGAACTTTAAGCTCACTTTCAACTCTAACCATTCTATGATCGCTGAATGGCTGAGTATTTCTAGTTTTAGGTCAGTGATTAAGTTCACATACTTATGAAGTAAATTAACTACCACAGGCCAAGAGAACTAGAACTGACATAAAAGGCCTTTCGAAATTACCAGGTTTAGAGATTATTATGCCTTCATATGTCAAACAGCTATAATTCCTCAGCCAGAAAGCTTTTGATTTTTATAAATACTATTCCAACTAGTGTAAAGAGATTGTATTGTTGTAAAATTTCCAACTACAGGCATTTAGTATTTGTGAAGGTCCTAACTAGCTGATTTTCCATGAAGATTAAGACATTATTTTAACTAACAGAATTTAAAATAAAAGCCAAATAAAGGACAAATAATTCACCCATCACATTGAGGAAATACTAACTCAGAGTTTCCCAAATCATCACCACAAACTTTAGCCATAAGATCATCCTTCACCTTAGAAAGTAGCTGTTTCCCTCTCAGCACAAGTCTTTAAACAGTATCCTATTAAGTTCCAAAAACGACAGGCTAGAAGGATGACCAAGGGAATGGAACTTTATGTGAGGAGAATTGCAAGATTAAGACTCTTCATCTTGAAAATAGTGTTATTAGTGAGAGGAAAAAAGTGGCACTATAATTATTATCAGGAACATAACAATGAAAGTATTGAAGTACACTGTGCTAATAAACATATGCCAGTAAAATCTTCCTCCAGTGTTTAACTGTTGATATTGTATTGCTTCACTTCTGAATAATTAAAGTGGTCAGGTATTTAAACTGCCTATGAGGTAAGAATGAGGCATGCACTCATGCACTCAATTTACTGTAACAGACAACCCATCAGAGCCAGCCAAATTGATAGTATTTAGATTTTTGTGCTGTTCTCAGGCTTGTTGCCTTTTTTTCCACCTAGCAGTAAAAATATCACAAAAACAAGCAAAATTTGCTTTGATTTACAAAAACATGAAGATCTTTAGTAAGAATTACATTAAAAATAACCCAAAACCTTTGTTTCCCTGGTTTCTTCAGACTGTCTTTCTTCACTTCTAAGCCTTGAAACTGGTAACTCTGAAGTGTGACCTTTCTGTGATGCGTTGTCTCTCGTATCTTGAGTTCTCAGTATAGCAGAGGCTGTTTCTAATATAGTATCATTGCTACTTTCAAAGCTGAAATCAAGCACACAAACCCACTGTATTAGTGCATTTTAATTAAAAAAGCTATTACTGTTTACAGATAGATCCAGTCACTGAGAAAAATTATGCAATTTTGACATTATTCAATCACTTGTGTTTCTGAAAATTCGACACATCTTACTAATATTTGCAGGATATGAAGGTTATTTTCCCCTGATCTTCTGTAACAATCTATGTTGGATTAAAAGACAAATACTGTTCCTTCATATGATTCCAATGAGGTATTAATGCACATATAAGTTTCTGGGAATCTGTATGAAACAGGAAACTATTAAAATACAGCTAAGTACAACAACTAACGCACAAAATTCTGAAGTAGCAGCTTCATAATGACTTTTTAGACCTACTGCTTTCCTTAAATAACAACTGTCTTACACAAACATTCATTTTCTTCCTAGGAAAAGAATGCTCAAAATCATAACCAAAAGCTTGCCTCACACCCAAATTCGTCCAAATAAAGCCCAAGCAACTATTCTTTTACAGAAATATCCTCTCATTAAAAACAAGTATCAATTCCAAGTGTACAGCAACAAGTACCAAGAAGTGCTTTAAGAGAAATACTAGAAGTTAGGACAAGCCAACAGTCTCCAAGTAAGAAATAAAAAAAACAAAACAGTTTTGGTTTGAAATTTAGTATTATGCAAATTAATTTTGCAAGGGTGGCCCATCAGGGCAGAGAATATATTGATATTGTAAATTAAAAACAGATTGCTAAAATAATCCTCAGCAACCTAAAATTCATCTATTCTGTGCCACCTAGCATGACAGTAAGCATGAATAAACAAAGCCAATATTAAAACCTTAAACTATTTTAAATTTTGCCTAAGGTTTCCATTTTAAACATTACCTGCATAATTTGACATCACTTTCTCTCTCCGTTATGACATCCACTGGTAAAGAGGACTCTGACCCCTCTTCCTCTGTAACAGTCTCATCTTGTTTTCCTTCAATAACACTATCCAGTTCTTCTCTACAGGCAGCATGACCATCATTGTTTGCATCACATACCACATTTTTTTCTGCTAATAAAGAAGAACTAAATAAATTTGGACATTCTGGGCAACATCTCAGAATTTCAATTATTACATCCTAGATACAGTGAAGCAAAATTTAATTTAAGGCAAAAAAAAAAAAAAAACCCAGCAGAAAATACCTAAATATTAAGATAAGTGTTCTCAGCTAAAATACAACAGTATTTAGTATGAAAGCTGATTTTGAAAAGCAGTTTTGAAAGACAGTTCAGTGATGGAAATCAAGATCCAAATTCTCATTTTAAGTTTGTAATGTCTTCACATAAAATTTGCACTCGAACAGTTGAAAGTGAGCATTTTTGCCTCTTACTTTTCTCAGATGATTCCCCTTCTTCAGCAATTTTTGAAGGGACTGCCACTTCTTCTGGAAGATTCTCCAGTTCCTGTTCAAGATCATCTTTTCTCTTCCTCTTTCTCTTCTTTTTTGCTAATACTGGCTCTAATGCAACCTGTTCTTCTGTCTGTTCAGCCAGGCCTGAAGATTCTTCATTTTCTTTCTCAGCTGTTACAGCATCTGCTTCTGTTTCTGCATCAGAAATTCTGCCTTCCTGAAGATCACCCTTATCACTAGCAGCTTCTCTGCTGGCAGCTTTTGCTGTTGAGACAATACAGTAGTTCCTAGTCAATACACAATTAGGAGCCATATATTTCAAAGATATTTCCACTAGCAACATCTGATTAATTAATGCATTGCTGCCAGTATACTGCCAGGCACATGAGCAGGACCATGAGAAGTCAGTCACTGGCTTCACAGAAAAGCTCCAGCATAAATTATCTTCAACACTTAATGTAAAACACATCCTGCATGTGGGTCAACACTTCACCATGGTAAAGTTAATACAGGATGTAAATCCAATTTAGTAAATGTTCCCATTCCTCTAGTTCATAGCATGTTAGAGTCACTTCTGGGATCCAGGAAATTATCATACCTCTACAGAAAGAGGTAATGATGGTTCCAGAGAGTATGCCATAAAAAAGTAATTTGGATCAGTAAATGTACTGTAGTTAATAATTCTTATTTACATAAGCAAGCCGAATTATAATCTAGCTAATAATTTATAAGGTTTTTTTCTGAGTGTTAAGACAGGACATTGGTAATTCAGGATATCTGGTCTTGACCTTGTACTTATGTGGAATATCAGCCACCAAGATCCATTCCCTGTCCTTTTTATAATTATTTATAATTATTGTAATTATTGTTCCTCTGTAATTAAGCAATCAAAGACACAAGTAGAAAAGCATACTCACATCACTTTACACACACAGCACCTTTAAGCTGCTATTAAAGCCTACAAACAGAATTTATGTATGTAGCTGTAAGGCTTTTTTATTACTTAATCAAATCTGAAATCGAGGCTACAGAAAAGCAGCAGTCAATTTTAAGAATTGAAGTGATGGTGCTTCCTAGCTAGCATTCCCTTTAAAAAGGCTGTTCACTTGTTTGTTCCATGGGAACCCATTTTGTTTTAAGTGGTGGTGTGGAACAAACAAGTCAACAGCCTTTTTATAACTTATAATAACAACAGAATTATCAAGGAAGTTATGTTAGTATAGCTGTTTTGAATTTAAGTATATCTAAGAAAGGTCCTTTCACAGGTACTGAGGTAATACGACATTATGGTAATCAATAGTAATTAAACAATCTTTACTCTTTGAACAGATCAGAAAACTAAAATAACATCTGCAATAATTCCTTAAAGGATAACACCCTTCAGACAAGGAGTCAAATTATAATTAAAGGAGAAGGAGAATCAGAATCCTTAAAAGTGTTTTAAATGCAAGAACAATTTAAAGTAGAAGTCCCAGAAGAGCCAGACAAAAACATGGCTTTGGCCCAAGGATTCCAAAAGTCAACTAGTTAGCAAATCATGCAGATACTTCAACTGTTAGAATATCCTGTTCAGAATATCAGAATACGTGGAATAGAGCTAATCAGTGTGGTCTCACATTCCCACTCAGAGAAAACACACTTCATAAAAAAAAAAAAAGGCTACCACCAATTGTCACCATCCCACACACTAGTAATCTGTATCTGCAAAAGATATGTCATGAAGCCAGAATGCTCTTGCCCTGTGTGCTGGTTGTAGCTGCAATAGAGCTAATTTTCTTCTTAGTAGCTAGAATACTGCTGTGGTTTGGATTTAGTATGGGATTCAGTACAAGAAGAATGTTGATAATATACTGATGTTTTTAGTTCTTGTTAAGGAATCAAGGACTTTTAAACTTCTCACACAAGTCCACCAGTGAGTAGGTTGGGGCTGCACAAAAAGTTGGGACAGCTGATTCAAACTGGCCAAAGGGATATTCCATACCACATCATGCTGAGCATATAAAGCTGGAGGAGGAATGTGACATGTTTGGAGTGATGGCATTTGTCTTCCCAAGTAATTCATGATGGAGCCCTGCTTCTCTGGAGACAGCTGAACAGCTGCCCTGCCAGTGGGAAGGAGTAAATGAATTTCTTGTTTTAGTTTGCCTGTGTGTGTGGCTTTTGCTTTACCTACTGAACTGTCTATCTCAACCCATGAGCCTTCTCATATTTTTTCTTCTGATCCTCTCCCCATCCCAGGAGGGGGAGAGCGAGCAAGCTCTGTGTGGTGCACAGCTGCCAGCTGGGGTTAGACCACAAGAGCTTGTCTGGAATGGGGAAGGAAAAGATTCCCTCTGTTATTTTTCCTCTGCTAGCAACACATGACTGGCCACTGCACTGTAATGCCACCTCAAGCATTCTTTCACAGTACCTTTTGGTCTCTTCCGAGGCCTTGATGGCTTCTTTTCCTTTGGCTTCTGGCTTTTAGCAGTCTTCTGTTTCCTCTTTTCCTCATCTGCTAAGACCTTCTCAAGCAGCTGGGCAAAGAATTCAAAATCAAAGGGCCGTTTTTCTTCTGTCAGATTAAAGCAAAAAAATGAAGAAGATTTCAAAGTTGGTAACTTCTCCAAGCTTCTGCTTTGTAAAATAATCAGTGTTACATTTTAATATAAAAAGGTTGTATCCATTTAAACAGAGAACTCTTTTTCAAAATTCTGTATCACTTGAGCAGGGACAAGAATTGACATAAATATGCATTATAGTAGCTTGGTTTTACAAAATAAGTATCAAAAAGGTCACAGTACTTAGTAGATCAGAAAATTCAGAAGTGACAAAGAATTGTACCATAGTATCAAATAATGTATTGACATGCTGCTATTTATGTAGCTCATTCAAATAATCCACAATGCCCTTACGAAGTCGCAAAGCAATTTACAGTAACTGTGCTAGAAATTTCCATTAATCAAAATAATCTTCTACTGAATATATGTATAGGAAAGTTTTATTAATCTCATTTATCAGACATACAAAAGCCACAAATTAAACCTAAAGATACACAAGGTGAATCATGCTTGTTACAAAAAACTAAGATTCCCCAGCTTCTCAACTCACCCATGAGCAACAAATTTTTTTTTATTCCAGCAAGGCAAAGCACAAAAATTACACTGCAAAAAGATTACTTCCATTTAATAACTCACTGTAGGGTGGGGTAAATTTACTTACTGAAAGCTTTGTCTATCCTCCATCCATTAGCTTTTTCCTCACGTTTGAACTTGTTCTAAAAGCAAAAGTATATTTGTCTTTTTCAGTAAGCAAGAAATGCAACAATGTTGTGCAAAATGGCAGATCAAGATGAGCTGCCTTCAAAGCAACACATTTTTCTACCAACTAAAGCTGTTAAAACTTACAAGACATCCTGAAAGAACACAAGATTTTAATTAATTTTAAAACATAAAATCTGTCACAAATAGATACCCATAGTAATAATTTTTTATTATTTTCAACTTCTTTGTCCTTGAAATGGCAAAAATTTTCCCAGCTGGATTACACAAAAAAGGAAACACAGACCTCACCAAACATCTACTTATGTTTATTGGCATTCTTCAATCAAATTCAAGACAAATTTTGGTATGCTCTAGGTCTGGGTATGCTAGATTTACTACGTACATGGATCAGAATTCAACACAGCATCTTAATGTTTCAGATACTTGCTACCTCTTAGAAAGAGGCATTCAAGAGCATTGCTACAGAGCCAATCGGCATCAAAATTATCAATACTAATAGAGGAAGCACAGGAAAAGCAAATGAGAAACAGAAAAGTAAAAACAGATGCTTAACTGCTTTATTGAGTGCTTTAATATTTACCTTAATTTCTGCTCTAGCTCTATGAGGAAACAGCCGTCCAATCAAGGAGAAGTCAGTTCCTACCATACTGATAGCCAGAAAGAACATATCTGTTTCTGAGTGGAGAGGTGTGAAAACAAAAATTGTTAAACATACATACAGTCAGATATTCAGTTAATCAACCTTTTTACTATCTCAACTAAAAACATCTTTCAAACTGAATGCAACAAGACAGATAACTTTCAGGTTATCCACTGTGGCTGCAAGTTCAGCTGTGCTGCAGTACGTGTGTTATCTTACCCAAGTGCCTCTAACAACATTTGGTAAATGAACTATCAACAGGAAGAACTATCTGATCTATTACAAAACTGCAGAATGTGAAATAAGCAGTAAGCTACTAAATCAAAGCTAACATTGACAGTGTGGAGCTGGATATTTTTTTAATGAAGACAACCACAAGCAGAAATCAGAAAATAGCATGTGTAAAAACACCATATCCATTATTATACGCTAACAGGAAAAGGGCACATTCCAGAAGCAGCACAGTGAATCTAACACTATTTTTTCCACCTATGGTTTAAAAAAAATAGCCGTTTCCAATTGCAAAAAAGTCTTGCACAGTATTATCAGCAGGCTTAATAAAACAAACAACCCACCCACTCAAAAAACCAGCTGTCCATGTGCACTGAAATCAGCTCACACAGAAATGGCTTAGACAATTTATTCCTGCCCACACAGGAAGAACCAAGTAAAGAAACTGCTAGAAGTGCCAAATGTTACATATAGAGCTCAAATATCTGGACACCACATTAAAAAATTATGCTTTTGATAAGACAGACTAGGATTTCCACAGCATCTAAATGTCCAGGACAGAAAAAGTTCACAGGTAGCCTGCATATTATAAGGCACTGAATTTTTTAAACATGCCAATTTCCACAGTAAACAGAGCTCTGCTTGCTTTAAGAGTCTGGAGGGTTCAGACTACCTCACATGAAAGTAGATAGTTTGTTCCATTGGAAATAAAAACTGTTGAGTAAAAGATACAGATGGATAACTAGGATTTTTTTTTTTTTTGCAGACTCAAAGCTTGAAAAAAAAAAATAAAAAAAATTACTCACCTTTATTTGACCATGGTTTTGTGTAAAAGCTTTTCCTGAAGCTGGAATATGTAGTTGTAGAGCCACGCTCAAAGATGGGATCATTTTCTTCTATAACACACGAACCTTTTGTTCTTAAAACTTCTACAGTTAAACTAGAAAAGCAATCACAGAGACTTATCTGAAAATACTGCTAACAAGACGAATAGATGATGTTTATAGACCAGATATCCAAGATTCTTCCTGCCACAAGTCAGAGTTTGTGTCATGTATTCAGGTTTAATAATTATATTACCATGTATTTAAATGGGAGAATACAGCAAGGAATCATTATCCTACTCAGCCTGTGCAATAAAATTTGCTTTTTTATATAGACAGGCAGACAATTATATACCTCTTTAAAAAATGTGTCTTTTTAACATTCAAGAAAATTATTTTTCAAAACCACAAGAGCCTCTCCATGTCCTTCTACAATACTATAAAATTATTTTACCAAGACTGCTCTATCCTCACACCTTGGCCTAAATCTCATGTTAATAATACATCAGTGGAAATATATCATTTTATAATCTAACACTTAAAAACCCCCATATTCTAAGCAAAGTTACTGAAAAAGCTGACAGCTAAATACAGCATCAACATGAAGGATGCAAAGCTGAAGCAAATCATACTGACAACCAAAAAGCAGTAAGCAAATACATGAAACTCTAAAAAACAAATTAATTAACTAAATGGAAGATAATTGAAAGTTTAAGAAATATTCAGAAGTCATTCCTTGCAATAAAATAAGACATCTTCCTCTATACCTCCTTCTCCAAAAACTTCTCATAAAGTTCACCACTATTGAGAGGCAGATTATTGCTGCTCATATTTTGCCATGTTTTTGCTCTGTTCCCTAATTTAGGATAGCTCAGCTCTCAACACAAACTCACGTTTGTCCCCATCCAAAGTAGCTGTTCTCCATTCACAAACCTACCAGCAATACAGTATATATTGTAAATGAGTCAGAGACAGAATTTGCTACCTTTCTTCATCCAGTATAATTGAACCATCCTCTGCTACTTTCACACGAGGCACTAGAAGAGGACCATCTTGACTCTCCTCCCCATTCTCTGCTTCTTCCTCCTCATTTTCCTCTTCATGATCAGGAGTATTCTTCTCTTCCTGTCTACAATTTTAGAAGGCCAAGCAAAAAAAATATTACTTTTGTTAGTGTTTTGAACTGCTGCTCTGTATGCCAGACATTCAGCACTTTAATGGACCATGCAGTAATGCAACCCAGCAGCAAGTCAGTCAATACATAAACTCTGGAATCTGCTTTTCATCCTACTATAAAAAATGAAGAAACTAAACTACGTATTATTGAAAGCAAAATGCTCTTTAACCACCCTCCCCCTCCCTAATTACAATGTGTTATTAGTAATAATATTCATTATTAATAGCTGCGATATTGAAATAGCAAAAAATAAAAAGATCTATACTGCTAGTATTGCCACACAAATGTGCTTTTTGCCAACATCAGAAAACTTCTTGACTCCAAGTATTTCCATCACCAGTACTTACTCTTTCATTTGACCCTGTGCAGTATTTTTTTCTGTTCTCTTTTCTTCTGCCAATGAAGACCTAGAATAAAATAATAATAAAAGGCTAGACATGAACATTTGTACAGACACATTTCTGTTTCATTCCGTAAAGCTTGCTTTTTGTGGATATTGGACAAGGAAACATAGGGTTTTTTTCAGTTCTTTGTACCAAATCTAGACTTGCGTCTAACTGAATAACCACCACTGCTTATTGAATTTTGCCTTTTTTTGTATAAGCAAGAACAAAAAAGGGCATTTAAATCAGTAATCCATTGCAAGAGTACAGGGAATGTCAGAGCATCTGGTTCATTACCTGCTTAAGGAAAAGAATAACAAGGAAAGTGATAAATAAAAAGACACAAGCACACAAACATTAACAGGCAGGTGAGAACAAACAATAACAGAAAACTCATCTGTTTCTGAGAAGAACAGGACTTGGATAGCTGTACCTATGTTTATGTGATAGGTTTTGTTATTTGCAGGAGAAAAGCCCTGCTCTGTCTCTGGCAGTCTGTGCAGCCAGCTGCATTAGAGCTTCCTATGTATGTACACCTCTGGGATGATCCCTCAGCCTCGCTACTGGCAAAACCTGTAAAAGGAACACAGAATCATAGAACTATTCAGGTTGGAAAAGACTCCTGGGATCACAGAGTCCAACCATCATCCCTACTCTACAAAGTTCTCCCCTAAACCATATCCACCAACACCACATCCAAATGACCCTTAAACACGTCCAGGGATGGGGACTCAACCACCTCCCTGGGGAGCCTGTTCCAGTGTCTAACCACTCTTTCTGTGAAAAAAATTCTCCTAATGTCCAGTCTAAACCATTCCCTCTTGTTCTGACACTAATTTTCTGTGAGAAGAGACCAGCACCAACCTCTCTACAATGACCTTTCAGGTAGTTGTAGAGACTGATGAGGTCTCCCTGCAGCCTCCTCTTCCTCAAACTAACCATTCCCAGCTCCTTCAAGGGTTCTTCATAAGATTGATTCTCTAGGCCCTTCACCAGCTTCCTTGCCCTCCTCTGTACTCACTCCAGGACCTCGATATCTCTCTTGAATTGAGGTGCCCAAAAGTGGACCCAAGACTCCAGGTGTGGCCTCATCAGTGCTGAGTAGAGGGGGACAATCACAGTCGCAGCTACACCCATCCAGCTGCAATGGGGAGACCTCCTGGGTCTGGTGATGTGGTTTACATTTTTACCACCCAGGAAGAAGAAATGCTTAGCTGCTTGTCATGCACTAAATTTGCCAGGAAGCCATAGGTAAAAATGTAACAGGAGAAAAAAAATATTATTCTGTGTTAGTACAGAGACACTGGGGACAGGTTCATGCTTTATATTTCAGTGAGTACAATCACCTCCATTCCAGTTTCTGTATGAAGACTGAGTAGATGTGAAAATGCCTAGAAGCTTTTGTTACCAATGTGACAATAGTGCATCTAGGCTAATACTCCATATTTAAGAAGTCTCCTTTTCACAATTATTAAATTGGTAGAAAAACAATTTAGTCTAAGGAGAGAGAAAGAGAGTAATACTTACTTCATAGGATTGTTTTCTGGTAAATAGTGTATCAAGTCCCTCATGGTCATTTTAGAGCGATCTGGTGGAGAGCGTCCTTCAATTATTGGAGGCCTGTGTTTCAACTGTTTCCACATAAAAAGAAAAAAACAACTTAAATTCACCCCAAAAGTGATTTACATTTCACAAATTTCACAAATTAATATTTTTCTTTGTTTATGAAGTACCTCACTCAGGGAGGTTTGTTGTTTCCCTCCCCTGCCCCCAATAACTGATACAATTTTATCTTACAAGCACTCCTTTCTCAGGAAGAACTCCACAAATCCTCAAGTGATTTACCCCCTCAGAGAAATTCAATCCTTGGCACAAGTAAAAGTGAAAAGCAATTAAAAAAAAAAAATCACAAAACTCAGTCAACAATCAAGTTGAAAAGCTTCTTAAAGCAGAGCTCTCCATTGTATTACCAAATATGAAACTTTCTGAACTTGAAATGTTGACTATAATAGCAGGTCTCCTGTCAAAAAGGATTGTGGGTCTAATAAAACGAAAAAATATACAATTTCTCATTAAATCTGTATTATGAGGAAACACAATGTTACTACTGCTTACAAACAGGCTAAGCCCATACAGACTTATGACATATCGCAGACTACTAGAAGGAGGTGGCTTATGACAATCAGAAAACACCACTGCAAAGCAGTAACAAATGTTGGGTGAATCACTTGTCTTTGCCCTTCCCAGATCAGCACTGCTCAACCCAGACCTACCATCCTCTCTTTTTTCAGCTCTTCTTTAAGCATTTCTCTTAACTTCCGAGCTTTGAGGATCCTTTCACGGTCAGAACACATTCGTTTCTCTTTCACAGGAGCAGGTTTCACAGGTAGTTTCTCCTCCTGTATCCCTGATCCTTCCTGTGTTGGTCTCTCTTTGAGTGGTGAGGGTACACTCTTCTGCAAGGTGTTGTCATTTCTTTGAGCAGCTACACCTACAGTTTGCTCTTTGTTCACCAACTTTTTAAGTGGGGAAAACTGTGGCACTTGTGGCACAGGTGTTTTCTTTTCTGGCAGCATGGGAGACTTCAAAGAACTTTCAACATTACTCTCTTCTGATGGATAGGAATCCTTCTGAGGTGAAGCACTTTCATCAGGAGCCTGTGATGCTCGCCTCTGTAGTTTAGATGCAGGACACTGAGCAGATGAAGGTCCAGCTCTGGGTTTAAGAAGATTTGGCATGGTGGAGATCCGTTTTCTTCTCGGCGTAGGCATCTCTGCAGGCTTACTAGATTCTCCAGCATCATTTGAGCTATTAGCCTTGTCATCGCTGGAAAATATAAGAGTATTCTGAAATACTTCACAGTGACAAATTTGTAACTCACACTTTCAAGATATGTTTACGTACCACTGAATATAATCCCAGTTCTATAGAAAAATTCAGTTATATGCAAGAAGCCACACTAGGACCAACCTGTAGGTGGTACTTCCTCCTAAGATAATCAGCTATAAGAACTGGTACATTATTTTCTATTTCTATTACTATTAATTAATTTTACTGTTACAAGCTACATGACCAATAATGCTAACATCACATGTTCCTCCCCCTACCCCTCTTTCAGCTGAAAATATCAAACATCACAACACAAGAGGTGACATACTAAAAACATTTTAATAAGGCTATATGGAACAAGTAGTTTGATTATTTTTTATTACAATAAATCAATCTGAACATTCTTTTGTATGTTTGGAAGCAGAAGATATGTAAACTATGAATTAAAAAAGAGCCTTCAGCAGTGAAGCCAGATGCTCTTACTTACTACTGCTACTCTACTGCTCACACTTAACCAGAAGTTGCCTTTTAGAACCAACAACTTCCAGCTTCCCTGGAAAGCTTTCTATTTAACTATGTTTTGATCCTATACACAGAAATAATTTTTCAAGTGCAAGCAAAATGCTTACAACCTCCTAACTTTGCAGACTTCACCAGTATTTGGCTCCTTGGCTGTCATTCACAGCAAGACAGCAGCAGAACTACAACTGAGTCATCAAGAGGTTTTTTAATTTTACATTGGAACTATGCCTTGTTTCTGTACCTAAGGACAACCCCACCCATCTTTCACTTGGCCATCTTCAGAAACAGTCAGAACAAAATGCCTCTGAAGGAATGTAAGAAAAGTGTGAAGCAGTGAAACTTTTCCAAATCCTCTGCAACTACTGTGACTTAGGCAAGTGCTACAGGTGATGTTTTCACATTTAACAGCCATGGCAGACTTTTCTACATCAATTTATCCCACACTGTGCGTTCATAAACATTTTCAGTACACTGAACATCCCTCAGCAAGGAGTTCACCAGCCTTACTATGTGGTGCCTGTATGTGTGTTTATATGAGATCCTTGCAAGGTTCATTCAACACACTCTTTTTTGTACAGCAAGAAGCAGTGGAAAGTAATTATTTGCTCATCTCCTCCCTAACTCCTGTGTTTTGTGGAGTTTTTAATCAGAACGGCCCACCAGATTTCTGAGCAGTGAAATACAACTTAGCAGAAACTGTATTTAAAAAAAATAATCTTTTGCTCTGAGAATTTTCACTTCCCTGATAATCAATATAACCCACCCAGCATTTAAGAAGCAAAGAAAGTTACTGACACTACAGTTACAGGTTTGCACAGCTACGAAGAAATGCCCTAGACTGGAAGAACAAATACATCATATCTTTTCATATTTGCCATTACTTTTTTTGCAGACCACACAACAAATACATTGTGCTGCATGTCACCAATTACTGCAGTCAGGAAGACAAATTGTGAGACTTCCCTCAAATCCACTCTTCCTAAAGCTTTTAGAGACAGCCAGGCCACCAATCTTTAAAATGCATCATCTAGAGAGATACTGTGCCAAGAAGCTAATATGGCTTACACTGAAATAAACCTCCAGGCCTGCTCTCTAATTTGGTTGTTATACGCCTTCAAAAGCAACAAAACACTTTAAAAAACAGCTCTTCAGTGGAATTCAGGGTGACCAAATGGGGGAGAAAAGGATGCAGCTCTCACCTGTGCCTTTTCTACTTGCTTCCAGGACCAAAAGTTCCCCTGAGTCTCCTAGCATTTTTTTGTTGAATACTAACTTCTCACTCTAGCTGAGCTATGGAACCCACCACAGCACTCCACTGTCCCTGTGTCTCAAGTGTATAGTTTTCCAAACCTGCATTTCTCCAAAAAAGGTCTTTGCTAGCCATGTGCCCCAGGTTTCAATGCATCAGCAAACTGAAGATGTATGTATGCTAAATTCAACAGGAACATCTTCCATCACAGTCTTGGATTTCATATAACTGCTCTAATTTTTCTTTAAAACAGCAGGATGTGGTTTTGTGGATGTGTACACCAGGTAATTTTCCATATTTATTAAGGAAAATACTTAATAAGCCTGTAATATGGAAAGAGCCATGTGAATAGATCCCAAGAATATTCTGCCTTTCAGAATAGCAGTGGTGTCTAGTTTAGAAACTCATTAGATTTCACTGACCCAGCCACTAAACTATGAACAAAAATCTTTAACAAATTTGCTGAAAACAGCAACAGTACCACATAATTGAAATGTATTCAAATTTCAAATACATCTTCATTTATGAAAAAGGTATTGGATAACAGGAGATCAGGTAATCTGACCTCTGGAACACATATTTTATAAACAAAAAGGCAGCATGGGTTTACTATGATATGCTTTGCCAACTAGTCTGATACTTCAATTTCTAGTCAGAGGAAGCAGAAAACTGTCAGAAGATCTTGTATTATGTCTTCAAGGACAAGTTTCAACTAAAAGAACAGATGTATTGATGCAAGATGCCTCAGTGAGAGGTTGTTCTGAGAAGCAATTATCAGATGGAGAAAATGTCTTGAAGGAGTGGTCTGTACTACTTGTGGCTGGGATAGAGCTCATTTCCTTCACAGGACCTCACGTGGTGTTATGCTTCAGATTTGCAACTCTGGGAGTGCAGAGCACACCTGTGTTTTAGATACTGCTTCTGACACTGCCTTCCCAGTGGTGAGGCTGAGGGTGCACAAGAAGCTGCAAGTGGATACAGCCAGGGCAGCCTATCCAAACTCCAAAGGGATACTCCAGACTATATGATGTCATGCTAAGCAATAAAACCTGAAGGAAGGAAGAATGGAGGACATTCAGAGTCATGGAGTTTGCTTTCCCAAGTAATCACCATGTGCATGAAGCCCTGCTTTCCTGCAGATTGCTTTAACTACTAAACTGTCTGTATCTCCCCTTGTGAGCTTTTGCACTTTTGCTCTTCCAATCCTCTGCCCATCCCAGCACGGAAGGAAGGAAGCAGCTGTGTGGCTTACAGCAGCCAGCCTGGGCTAATACACAGCAGAGGTCCCAAAGGACTAGTCGTAGGACCAACCGTATTATGCATTGCCATTGCAATAAAAAGGACTTAAAGAGTCAAGAACAAACAAACCAGACAGTTCTCACTCGCCAATACATGAAGAAGTGAATACAAAAGAGGAAGCACTGTAAGACAGTAAAATCAAAGCCACGCAGCTACAGAGCGCAAAGAATCTTTCTCTGCACAGCAAACTGGAGCTCCCTGCTGCTGCATCACCAGAGAACCACAAAAAGCAGAGAAACTGAGTCCCAGACCACAACAGGCCCCTCCTTTGCAGTCCTAACTTGTGTATTAACCCAAGCACCTGCAGTGCAACCGCAGCAAAGGCGCGCAGGTTTGTGCTTAGGCTGCAAAAACGCGTCAGACACCCAAGAGCCGCCACCGGGCGCCCCGGGGCGGAGCAGCTCATACCTCGGCGAGTCTCCCGGCCCAGACAACGCCAAACCCAGCCCGTGTCAAGCAGGAGGCGACAGGCCCTGACAACAAGCGTCACCGGAGCGCCCGTCGCCGTCACGTCCCCAGGGCCCCCCCCGAAGGGCCCCAAACCC